GGCCCTTATTCCTATGGCCCAGGGCAGCTGACTCAAGTTTCACCCTCAGGCCCCCGCAGGGGGTCAACAGGGCCAGCTCCAGGCACAGGAAAAATGACACAGTCAGCCACCAGGAAATCCTGTTCCCTCAGTACCAACGGGGTACCGCGAGAGCAGCCTGTGGTGGGGAAGAGACTCCCCCAAGCTGCAGGCGAGACGAGGAATGTCCACATAGCTGTGTATGTGGCCTGACTTCCATGTGAAGGAAAATCCCATGTGAAAAAGAAAAAAAATCAAACTTCTTTTGTGTCTTGCTTGGGTCCCTAAAGAGTGTCAATGGCCTTCACCAAAGACCCCAGGAATACACTAGTAATGAAACAAGCTGAGTTATCATTTACAGCAGCAGTGAGGGGGTGGGGCGCACATGCCATGAGCTACCCTGAGTATCTCAGGAAGAGGGTATTAAAAGGAACCCAGGACAGGATCTGGGCTGGAGGTTGGGCACTGAGAGAGACCAGAGGCAATTCTGAGCTGGGTAAGGAAGAAGAAGTAACTCATTTAGCAAGAGAGGGGGATGTTGGGATTTTGAGGGTGTCACAGCCACCTTGCCCTTAGACAAGATTATGCAGTGGACTTGCATAGTCTCAGAGTGTCTTTGTCTGAGGTCAGTGTTCTGTTAGATTGTGAAAGTCCAACAGGAGAACAAAGTAACCTGGCTCTGAGTGTCAGAATCATTCCCTATGCTCTGTTTTCTTCTTTCTCAATGGTAACCTATATATACTGAACTTTTGCTAGTACTCAGCTTCCTGTTAAATTCGTTCTGTCTTTTTTTTATTATTTTATTTTATTTTTTTTTTTTTTTTGAGATGGGGTCTTGCTCTGTCACCCAGGATGGAGTGCAGTGGCATGATCATGGCTCACTGCGGCCTTGACCTCCTCAGCTCAAGCAATCCTCCCCGCTCAGCCTCTTGAGTAGCTGGGACTGCCCAGCTCTATTGAAGTCTTTGTATCAAGATTGGTAAACCGTGGCCCTTCACATCCAGCCTACTGCTTGTTTTTTGTACAACCTGGGAGCTAAGAATCGTTTTCGTATTTTTAAGTGGTTGAAATAAATCAAAAGAAGAAAAATATTTTGTGACATGTGAAAAAGTATATGATATTCAAATTTCAGCCCAGACGTGGTAGCTCACGTCTGTAACCTCAGCACTTTGGGAGGCCGAGGTGAGAGGATCGGCTGAGCCCCAGAGTTAGAGACCAGCCTGGGCAACAGAGCAAGACCTCCCTTTTACAAAAAAACAAAAACAAACAAACAAACCAAAAAAACCCACAACAATTAGCCGGGCATGGTGGCACATGCCTGTGGACCCAGCTACTTGGGAGACTGAGGTGGGAGGATCACTTGAGCCCGGGATATCGAGGCTGTTGTGAGCTGAGATCGTGCCACTGCCTTCCAGCCTGGGCAACAGAGCAAGACCCTGTCTCAGAAAAAACAAAAAAAATTGTTTTTTTATGTCCCCCAAATAAAAGTTTAGCCACACTCAAGCATCGATGTGTTGTCTTTTTTTGATTTTCTGCTCCTATGGCAGAGATATGTTGTTATGACAGAGACTTCATGGCCCCCCAAAACCTAAAATGTTTACTATCTGGCTTTTTACAGAAGTTTGCTGATCTCTGCTTTTAACAGGTTAACCTTGTTTTTTGTTTTTGTTGTTGTTGTTGTTTGTTTGTTTGTTTTGAGATGGAGTTTCGCTCTTGTTGCCTAGGCTAGAGTGCAGTGGTGCTACCTCGGCTCACCGCAACCTCCGCCTCCCGAGTTCAAGCAATTCTCCTGTCTCAGCCTCCCCAGTAGCTGGGATAACACACATGCACCACCACGCCCAGCTAATTTTGCATTTTTAGTAGAGATGGGGTTTCTCCATGTTGGTCAGGCTGGTCTCGAACTCCCAGCCTCAGGTGATCTGCCCACCTCAGCTTCCTAAAGTGCTGGGATTACAGGCGTGAGCCACTGCACCTGGCAGTAGATTAACTCTGTAATTCTCATGACAGTCCTAGAGTAGTTACTTCCATCTTATAAATTAAAGAACTGAGGTATAGGGAGATTAAGGGATATACCCTAACCAGGGTTTCTCAACTTCGTTACCAATGACATTTGGGTGGGATAATTCTTTGCTGGGGTGGGCTGACCTGTGTATTGCAGGATGTTTAGCAGCATTTCTGGTCTCTAACTAGTAGATGCCAGTAGTACTTTGCCCTTCTACCCAAGTTGTGATAACCAAAAATGCCCCCAGACATTGCCCAACGTCCTTTGGGTACAGAATTGGCCCTCGCTGGGAACCACTGACCTAAAGTCAGATAGGAAGTGATGGAACTAGGATTTGAACCCAAGACGGATGTGTTTGGCCACCAGCCACACACCCAGCTCCCAGGGGTGGGTTATTTTACTCTTAGTGGTGGTTCGAGCTGCAAGAACATTTAATTCATTCTAATTTTCTTTTCCCCAAAACACTGTCAAAGGCTGCTGGGGAGTCTGGTCTATCAAGCAGAGCAATAACTTTATTATTTTTGTGTGTTTGTTTTAAGAGACAAGGTCTTTCTTTGTCACCCAAGCTGGAGTGCAGTGACATGATTATACCTCACTGCAGCCTCCAACTCCTGGGCTCAACTGATCCTCCACCTCAGCCTCTGGAGTAGTTGGGACTACAGGCATGCACCACCACGCCCAGCTAATTTTTTTAGAAAATGTTTTTTAGAGATGGGGTCTCACTATCTGGCCCAGGCTGGTTTCAAACTCCTGGGCTCAAGCAATCCTCCTGCCTCAGCCTCCTGAGTAGCTGGGATCATAGGCATGAACCACCACACTCGACCAGAGAAATAACTTTAAAAACGAAGTCAGCTCCTGTCCTGAGCCTCCTCTGCTCAAATGCTACCCTAGTTCCCACATGACTCAGAGGAGAAGACATAGTCCTTCCTGTGAGCTCTGAGATCCCTGCATGATCCCACCCACTTCCTACCACCTCTACCCCCTGCCACTTCTCTTACCCTGCCTCCTCTTACTCTTCTCCTCCCTTAGGCCCCTGTAGCCCCACTGGCCTCCCCTTTGCTTCCTGGGTGTGCTCCCACCCCAGGGCCTTTGCACCTGCTCTTTCTTGCCCCAGATGTTTGCATGGCTCACCCCCTCACCTTCAGGTCTTGGTTCGAAGTCAAATTTTCCTTCTCTATCAGACTCTCTTTGAGCCTTGGTGTCTCACCCAAGGATGCCTGGCTCCTTCCCTGCCTCGCATGGCATGCATCTTCATTTGACGTGCTGCATATGTTACTTAGTCATGTGTGGTCTGTCCCCCCCACCGGATCTCAGCTCCATGAGGACGTGGACTTTCATCTTTTGTCACTCAGCACCAGGTACATGGCAGGTGCTCCACGGTGATTTGCTAATGGATCAGTTGGCTAGGGTTCATGTGCCCCAGTTGGGCTCTGGGTTCCTAGTTGCACCAAGCTCTTATCTCAAAATAGCTGAAACACATCCACCACTTATTACTCTGAGGGTCTCTATGGTCACCAGCCAAATCTAGCCACCATCTGGATTTGGAAATCCATTTCCATCTTAGATGGAAAATGCAGCAGATCCAGAACTGGGCTCCCAATTTCCATTTTTGCCCCTTCCCCTACATCCATTCTCTCAGACCAGGCCCAGAGATGTTTGCAAAATGTAAATCATATTGTCTTGGGCATTAAATCCTGCAGCAGGACCCCATCCCTGATTTAGTCCCCATTGGCCTTTGCCCACTCCGTCCCCATCCCCCATCTCCCCTATGCTTTTCCTATACACCTCTTTCCCAGCATGTGGGGCTTCCTCAGTTCTTCATCTCAGCCAAACGCCTCCTTACTGCTGGGCCTTTGTGCTTGCTGTTCCTGTTTCCTTGCACCCTCTTCCCAGGGGTCTTCATAGGATGGATTCCATTTTATCCTTGAGGTCTCAGATCTGATGCCATCAGCACACAGTGTCTTCTCTGTTGAAGAGAGAGCCCACCTACTCACCTCTCTACATTCCAGTCACATTGCCCAGTTCTATTTCCTCCATACATTTGTCCCTACCTCAAATTTTCTTTATTCGTTCATTGCCTGTCTCCCCTTCTAGAGTATGACCTCCATGGAATCCAGGGACCTTGTTCTATATTGTTCACAGAGTACCCTGAGAACATAGTCAATAGCACATAGTAGGTGCTCAATAAATACTTTTTGAATGAGTGAATGAATGAATGAATGATTGGACAATTGGGGTCATCCAACACATTGATGATTTATTACCATTCATAGCTGGCCTTTCACAACTTTGGCAGTGGCTGCTCAGGTAAGCCTAGGCTTGAGTTATGGATTGTCAGGCAGCCCTGCAGCTAAACACCTGCCAACAGGCCTGGGCACATCTTCACATATGGATGGTAGGACAGGAGGATAAAATGCTGAATGATTTTTCTTTTTCCTTTCCTTTCCTTTTCCTTTTGTCTCTTCTCTCCTCCTCTCCCCTCCCCTCCCCTTCCTTTCCTTTCCTTTCCCTCTCTTTCTTTTTCTTTCTTTCTTTCTTTCTTCCTTTCTTTCTTTCTCTTTCTTTCTTTCTTCCTTCCTTTCTTTCTCTCTCTCTCTTTCTTTCTTTCTTTCTCTTCCTTCCTTCCCCTTCCTTCCTTCCTTTCTCTCTCTCTCTCTTTCTTTCTTTCTTTTCTCTTTCTTTTCTTTTCTTTCTTTCTTCTCTCTCTCTCTCTCTTCCTTTCCTTTTCCTTCCTTCTTTCCTTCCTTCGTTCCTTCCTTCCTTCCTCCCTCCCTCCCTCTCTCTCCCTCCCTCCCCCTTCCTCCCTTCCTCTCTCTCCTTCCCTCTCTCTCTTCTTCCTCTCTCTATCTTTGTCTTTTGATTCAGTGAATAGTATAGGATCCTTGGCGAAGAAAGCATTCTTGACTAACTTCACAAAATTTGGGATACTCCTGTTCCATTCACTACATTACGCTAAAGACATCATGCTCTTTCCTCCTAGCTGCTGTGCGGAGAAACGGCCTACACACTGTGCCCACGGAGATGCAGTTTCTCGCCAGCACAGAAGCGTAAGTTATTGGTGAAATTTGTAGAGGAGACAGTGCTTGATTCAAGGAGACAATGAACAAGAATTCAGTGCTGCAAATCATTTTCCTCCCATCCCTGAATTTTTCTCCAAACGACCTAATGCCTAAGTTTCCACCATTCATCTCTGTGGCTTAAACATTAACCTCAACAGCCTCCTTTAAAAAAATGCAGACATGGAAAGGGTAGGGCAGTATATTAAATCCCTAAAGATCTGGTGAGATTGAGGATCACAGGTACTTTCCTCTTGCAAGAAGAGATCCAGAAGAGCAAGATAGCACACACTGCATGACACAAGGAGGAGAGGGGTGCAGGCAGGGTTAACAGTCCATACAGACAAGAAAATACCTTATAAAACAATAACAGCCCTTCACCCTACGTGACTTAGAAAGCATCTTCACATTGATGTTGAAATCGCGTTTAGTCTAGAGTATCCTTTGCCTTATGGCAATGTAGTTAAGATCATAGGATTTGGAGTCGCAAACACCTGACTTGGAACTCTGGCTCTGCTCCATACTGGCTGTGTGAGATAATGAGATAATGTAGATAGAGCAGGTTGGCTGGACCTTACATGTCCAGATGTTAGCACTTGTTATTATGGCATTGTGATCTCAATTTAACAGTGATGACACAACTGGGAGCCAAGCAATCTGCTCAAGACAGTGCTGGGCATTGATCCGGTCTATTTCATTCATTTAGCAAATATTTATTCAGAGCTTACGATGAGCCAGGCACTATTCTAGGGATGGAGATACAGCAAGGAACAGACAGAAAGCCCAGCCCTTATGGGTTTACATTCTAGTGGCAAGAAACGGATAAGTGAATATAGTCCATGGTTTGTTGGGTGGTGGATAAGCTTCGGAGGGAGATCAAAGCAGGAAAGAGGGTGGGGGAGGCGAGCTGGTAAGTGGGAAGTGGCAGTTTGAATGTGGGTAGTCAGGGAAGTCCTCACAAGAAGGTCGTGCTTGAGCAAATCTCTGCAAGAGGTGGGGAGTGGTGGGGGTATCCATGGGAAGAGTGTTCTCAGCATGTGGACCAGCACATGCAAAGCTCCTGAGAGGTCAAAGAGCAGCCAGGAAGCCAGTGTGGCTGGAGAATCTGAGTTACTCGGGAGGCTGAGGCAGGAGAATCGCCTGAACCTGGGAGGCAGAGGTAGCAGTGAGCTGAGATCATGCCATTGCACTCTAGCCTGGGTGACAAGAGTGAAGCTGTGTCTCAAATAAATAAATAAATAAAAATAAACAAAATAAAATAAAATTGATAATGCTATATATGCTGTTTTGTAACCTGCTATTTCACTTTTTTCCTTCATTTCAGTCTGTTTCCAAATACCTATTTTACTTAATGGAGAATAGTGAACATCATATAATGCCATAATGTTGGCCTCAATAATGCCAACATTATGATCTTTTAATTGTATACTTAAAAATTCTTAATGTCATTATTTCCCAAAACTCTTTAACTGTACAAGGAAAACAACCCAGAAAATAAAAAAGAAAAAAAATACGTAATTCCACTCCTGGGAAAGATATCAAAACAACTTGCATCTATTTCTAGACTTTAAATATTTTTATATTCATGAAACATAGCTATTTCTTTATTTCTATTTATTACTTATTAATTTTTTTTAGAGACAGTGTCTCACTCTGTCACCCAGGCTGGAGGGCAGTGAGGCAATCATAGCTCACTACAGCCTCAAACTTTTGGGCTCAATCAACCCTTCTGCCTCAGCCTCCCAGGTAGCTGGAACTACAGGTGCATGCCACCACGCCCAGCTGATTTTTTTTTTTTTATAGAGATGGGATCTCACTATATTGCCCAGGCTGGTCTCAAACTCCTGTCCTCAAGCAATCCTTTGCCTTGGTCTCCCAAAGTGTTGGAGTTATAGGAGTGAGCCACCACGCCCATGAGGATTTATACAATAAAAAACTAAATGGTATTGTGGCATGCCTTTTCGCCGTAGTTTGTGAATGGACAACTTTCATCTTAATAAGCATCCATTTAATAGCTGCATTGGTGTTCCATCCAGGAAGAGAGTCATCTTTATTATCAGCCCCTTTTAGATGGACATTTAGACTGTTCTTCATTTAAATTATATTTAATGGCATGGTGAGTTCCCTTGTACCCACCCCTGAGACACTTGTCTATTTCTTTAGGATACATTCTTAGAGTAGAATATCTGAACTGTAGAGTTGCACCTTGTTACAGGTTTTTGATACCTGTGCCAAATTACCTTCTAGAAAGATCACTCAGCTCCCCAACCCCTGGGCAGTCCGTGGCCTGTTCTCCATGTGTTCTGAATGGCTTCTCTTTGGATTTGTTTAAAGCAAAGACCACCCTGGGGAGACGGAGGTTCCACTGGATCTGCTGGCGGACTCCAGGAAGGAGGATGAATATCGTGGGAACATCTGGAAGGGCTTCCTCATCTCTATCCCTTACTCAGCCAGCATTGGGGGCACAGCCACACTCACAGGCACAGCCCCTAACCTCATCCTGCTTGGCCAGCTCAAGAGGTAGAACGCAAGAGTCCCCACCAGCAGGGAGGGTTCTGCTCCTCCCCTCCTCTTCCCTCCTTCATTCAACATCCAGGGAATGTGTATTGAGAGCCTTCTCTGGGCCAGGCTCTGGGAACACAGCAATACACAAAATCCAGTGAGATCCCTGCCCTTGGGGAACTTCCATTCTGGCGGGAGAGACAGGCAATAAGTGAAAAAGCAAATGAATATAAAACATATCTGTGTGATAAGTTAGAAAAAAAATACGGCAGGGAAAGAGAGTAGAAGTGAGGAGAGTGGGGTGCTAGTTTATGTAGGTTGGTCAGGGACACCGGTTCTCTCTGATGGGCTGACATTTGAGCAGAGACCTAGAAGGGAATGAGCCACGTGGACACAGGAGGGAAAGGCATTGCCGACAGCGACAGCGACAGCGGGGAGTAGCTCCTACAGAGCTTGGAGGTGGAGCTGTTCCTGGGGAGGTTCAGGGACCAGCAGGAATACCAGGGAGATGAAGAGTGAAGGGAGATGAAGAGTGAAGGGAAGGTGAGAAGACATAAGGTGATAGTGGTAAGTGTTGTCTAAGCACTCCTGCTTTCCCTTCAAGTGAGATGGGGGTCATTGGAAAGGTGACAGCAGAGGAGTAACCCAGTGGGAGGCATGGGTCTGTAGCTGTCATGGCCTGAGAGAAGCCTTCCAACCATAAGCAGAGTCCCCCAGTGGAGTGGGCTCTGCTGGGAGCTAAAGTCCCCCCATCCCTGGAAGTGGTCAGCAGTGACTGGGTGGCCGGTCAGGACATGAGGATAAGAGAAAGATGCTCCAACTGCACAACTTGCCGCTCCCATTATTTTAAGCCTCTGGTTTCCAAGATTTTAAAACTTCAGTATTTCAAGATCCTGTCTCTAAGACTTTTAGGTTCCAGGATTCCAAGGCAGGGTTTCTAAGATTCCTTGCAGTGGAGATGTAACATAGGTTCATTTAATTTACATAAATGCAAATGTAAGCATTTGGCCAACAAAGGGCACCAAAAAGTATTTGATATTCAACATGGCCGCAAATACTAGCCGACTTCTTTATCTGTTGCCCAACCAAAGAATCAAAAACACGTGGGGATGAAGGGAGGCCCTGCTGATCTCCCCGAGAGAGGTTTGCTATGTGTGCAACCCTCAGTAACATACAAGTGAGTAATTACAGGTATTTTCACAAGAGATTTTAGTACACCCATGTCTGGCCTTGTGCTGATTTTAAACCTTAACCCCTGGATGAGATGAATTGCCAATACATTCTCAGATTCCAAAATGCTTTGATTTTAAGATTTGATGATGGAAATCAGTGATTGTCAACCATGAACTGGGAGAGGTGAAAAACAACTAAAAAAAAAGGAAGTCGTAGGTGTGTTTCACCAATTGATTTAAGCCCGCTGAGTTTTACTGCAAACCTTAGATGTCTTTTTATCTCTATCCCTTAAAGAAGGCTGTCTGTGCCTTCTGGTTTCAGCTCACTGACAGAAAAACCAGAAGCAAAGATGATCCTGCTTCCGGTGTGGGGAGTATCTAGGCTCAGCCCTTTAGTGTTCTGCGGAGGGGGAAGGTAGGCATTTGGTATTAAAGTTTGCTGGGACCCATCCCCAGGGCTGAACAGGAGGATGTGGGCTCTGGGGATGGAGAGCAGAGCCTAGGTTGAGGATGGGGAGAATTGGAGGGGAGCAGTTGTTGTCAAAGCGTTGTCAGACTACCTGCCTGCCCTGATATGAGTAGGACTTTGTTCCAACCTGAAATGAAATTGGGGAAATTATATGTTTTTTATATGTTTATTTCATATTTATATTTTCTAAAATATATCTTATGTATATTTAAGTATATATTAACATATAATACATAAAATATATAATATTAACTATATATACAGTAAAAATATCAAATGTAGGATTTCAAGTTAATTACATGCAAATCTTACGCAACACAAGGGCTCAAATGTAGACCCTCTGGTGTAGGAAGAGGGGATTTAAAAGGAATGCCAGGTAATACGTGATTTTGATTCTCCAGCTGAGAACAGGAGAAGCCTTGGGAGACAGGAGAAGTGATTGCCCTGAGTGGTCCTTTAGCCCTTGTTGCCAAAATACATTTATTGGTTTATTCTGATTATAAAATGATATTGGCACATTAAAGAACATTTGGAAAATGTAGAAGAAGTTTGAAATACCTTCAATCCCACTGTCGATATTTTAAGACTTTCTTCTAGACTTTTCTATGTCCATATATTAAATGTGCATATATTTAATGTTTTTGCCAGTATGCTCTTAATACAGTTTTATAGTCTGATTTTATTATTAAAGTTTTTTAGAAAACATAATTTTTAGTGACTATGTATTATCTTATTTTGGGTGTACATACTTTAATCTTAAGCATTTAGATTGTTTTCATTTTATGATAATTATTATTTTGCTATTACAAATTATGTAACTGACCACACACTTGCTGATATTTTAATATTTTTAAAACAATATTTTTATTTTGTCTAATTATAGAGGTATACTTATTCATTGTAGAAAATACAGGTAGAGAAAAAGGAGGAAATAAAAACCACTTAGAATCCCACTATATAGAGTTTATTAATATTTTTGTTTGCTTATTTATTATATAATAACTGTTAATGTTTTGGTTTATTTACTTATTTATTTACCTAGAAATGTCCATGAGTGTCCACATACTTTTGTATACATCATTCTATAACTTACTTTTCCTCTTTTCAATCTAGCACTTATATTCCTGACCGCATTTCTGGCTTTTTGTTTTAAAGTTTATTTCTAGTAGTAGAATTTCTGGATAAAAGGATATGCACATTTTTAAGACTCTTACTGCATTTTACCAAATCCCTCTCCAGAAAAGAGTATTCTGATGAACAAACATCAAGAATCTGCCTGTTTTTCCACACCTTCACCAGCACTAAGTGTTATTGCCCTTCATCCTTTCAGGCTTGATGATGTCTTAATAAAACTGAGATTGGACACCATTCAGCAGAGAAAGAACTCATCGACATCACCATTGCCTGGACAAAATGCCCAGGCTCTTTGAGCATGTATAATAAGGAGGGCAAAGGTTTCAGCCTGCAGATGTGTTATGCTTGACTCCCACATTCATTAAAAACATTTTCATGAATTGCCAACATTTAAACATCACATAATTTCAAGTAAAACCCAAACCTGGGCTTGCTGGCCCTGCACTCTTGCATGGCAACCCTGGGGGAGCAAATAGCAGCTGACCCCTTTAATGAGCACGGCTCTCTTCAATTCACCATGGCCGGCCTGGCCTGTTTCACTCACTCAGGTACCTGTCTGGCCTCCAGGGGGCAGAGATTTTGACTGTAGTGCACCCATTGGTCCCATTGGGTCAGAAGCCAGCAGCCTCCAAAGAAGAGGAAAAAAGAGTGCTGCTATTAGAATAGGTGGAAAACAATGTTCCCAAGACTTCCATGGGACCCTCTCATTCCCCTCTTGACCCACTAATACTAGTACCGCCTGGTCTCCTCTGCCACTCCCCAAATGGGCATGGCTGCCCTTGGCCTGTTCTCATCTCCCACTGTTCTCCAGTTTCTTTCCACAGTGTGACGTGGTGAATTTCGGCTCCTGGTTCATTTTCGCCTTCCCTCTTATGCTGTTGTTCCTGTTGGCAGGCTGGCTCTGGATCTCCTTCCTGTACGGGGGACTGAGCTTCAGGTACCTCTCATTTTCTTCTTGGCAGGTAGAGTGGGGAAGCAGGGAGTGGCCTTTCTAACCTCAGCATCTGCCTGTGAAAACTGAGGATGATTGTTATTTCATGTCATATTCTCATTTCTTTCTTTTATGTATGTATGGATGTATGTATTTAGTTTTACACACAGGGTCTTGCTCTGACACCCAGGCTGGGGTGCAGTGGCACAATCGTAGCTCATTGCAGCCTCAATCTCCCAGGTTCTAGTGTTCCTCTGGCCTCAGACTCCCAAGTAGCTGGGACTACAGGCGAGTACTACTGTGCCTGGATAATTTTTTTTTTTTTTAATCTTTTGTAGAGATAGGGTCTCACTATATTGCCCAGGCTGGTCTCAAACTTCTGGCCTGAAGCGATCATTCCTGTCTTGGCCTCTCAAAGCTCTGGGATAATAGGTGTGAGCCACCATGCTAGCCATATTCTCATTTCTTGACCTCCCAGGGATGTGAGGATTAAGTGAGAGGTGTGACCTGCCTGCCACACCCAGACCCTTTGTTGATGTCACATATTATTACTAATTATTAATAGTATTGTCTTTAAGGTAAACACTCTTGACCAGAGAAGAGAGGAGTGCACTATTTCCCATTTCATGGGGCCCTGATACAGAAGATAATCTGGGGAGGCATGAGGACAAAATATTAAATAACACCAAATCATATTATGGGAAATATGTCTTTATCAACTCTCATCACTCAGTCTACTTACGTTAAGGAGAAAGTCTCAGTTGGGTGCTAAAGAAACCATAATATCTAACATTTCCAAATCAACCTCTAAACAAAGAAAGAGCAAGCTTCAGACCCAGAGACTTGAGCCAGAAATGATGTCTAGCCAAAATATAATACTGGCACTTTGTTTTCCTATATTTATTTTGGTTACTTCAATTACTTTTTAATATAGTTATGTTAATTTGGATAGGCAACACATACATATGGTTCTTAAAAATAAAAACAACACTGAGAAGTATGCAGTGAGAACCCCTCTTCCCAACCATGGGCCTCTTCACCCACGATATCCTCCCAAACAAGCATCCACTTTTATTGGTTTCTTGTGTAATCTTTCAGAGTTTTCTTAAGCAAATATGAGCAGACATAGATATCTTTTTCTGGTGACAGGCCTCCCTGACAGATTTTAGTTTTTTATTTTATTTATTTACTTATTTATTTATTTAGACAAAGTCTCATTCTGTCACCCAGGCTGGAGTGCAGTGGCACCATCTCAGAGTGCAACCTCCACCTCCCAGGTTCAAGCCATTCTCCTGCCTCAGCCTCCAGAGTAGCTGGGACTACAGGCTCTTGCCACCTTGCCTGGCTAATTTTTTGTGCTTTTTTTTTTTTTTTGGTAGAGATAGGGGTTTACTCTGTTGGCCAGGCTGGTCTCAAACTCCTGACCTCAAGTGATCCACCCACCTCGGCCCCCTAAAGAGCTGGGATTACAGGCGTGAGCCACCCATGCCCAGCTGTTTTTTTATTTTTATTTTATTTTATTTTTTCTCTTTTACGTTGCAACTCTAGTTCAAAGGAAAAAAGCATTTTTATAAGATACATTTCCAGAAGTGGGATTTCTGGATCAGAGAATAAACACATTTTTATTTTAATAGATATTGTCAAATCATTCTTCATAAAAATTTTACATGTTTCCTCTCCCATGCACAATGTATGAGAGTGTCTGCTTCCTTGCAGCAAAGTGGATTTTTGCCAATCTGATAAGAGAAAAATAACTTGCGTTTATTTTATGAAGAGTAACTTTAGGAAACTTTTCATAGGTTTGGAAGCATATGAAAAGTTTGTTCATCGGTATTTTCTTTCCTGTGAATTGTGAAACCGTGTGTTCATATTTTTATACATTTTTTCAAATGGGTTGTTGGTCCTGTTCTTACTAGTTTCTGGTACGCTTTATATTTTGGAAAGATGAGTGCTTATTCTGCAATAGAAGCTACTTTTTTTTCCTGATTTGTCTTTTGGCTTTGCTTATGGTGCTTTTCTCTCTAAAGAATTGTTTTAATTTTTTTTCAGTCTTTTCTCACATAGTTTCTGAAATTTCAATTACAGCTTAGAAAGGTTTTCCTAATACAGGACTTATAAAAGAATAATCATGTTTTCTTCTAGTATTATATTTTTTACATTTAAACTTCTGATCTATTTGGAGTTCATCCTTATGGTACAGTGTGAAGTTTGGATTCAGCTTCATTTTTTTTTGTCCCAAATGTTCACCCAGTGTCCTAACACCATTTATGGACACACAACATTTTACTATTTTGATGAAGTCAAATTTATCTATCTTTGGTGGCTTGTGCTTTGATGTCATATTGAAGAAACTGTTGCCTATTCCAAGGGCATGGAAATTTACCCCTGCCTTTTCTTCTGAGAGTTTTATGGCTTTAGCTCTAACAGTTAGGTCTTCAATCCATTTTGGGTTTAATTTTGTATATGGTGTGAGGTAGGGGTCCAGATTCATTCTTTTCCACTTGGCTATCCAGTTTTCCTAGCACCATTTGTTGAAAAGCTATTCCTTCCCCCACTATTCAGTCTTGGTACCCCTGTCAAAAATCAATTGGCCATAAGTGGATGGGTTTATTTCTTGGCTCTCAATTCTGTTCCGTTGATCTATATGTCTGATGCCATTTACTGAATAGTCCATCTTTTCCACACCAATCTGAGATAGCAACTTTATCATAGACTAAATCCCCATTTGTGACTAAGTCTGTGTCTAGACTTTCTGCTTTGTTCCATTGATTCCTCTGTTTATTCATGTGCCTGTTTGACCCACTCATGGATTTTAAGCCTGGGAGTCATATGATCAGATTCACATTTTTAAAGATCAACCAGGCTGTACGTGGGGAGAACAACTGTAGCAAAGGAAGACAGTTGCAGGGAGACCAGCCATCAGGCAGTTGCAGCCTTCTGGACAGAGAGGATGTGACTTGGTCAGGTGTTGGTGGTGGTTGTAGGTGAGAAGTTAGTTATACCTGCAGTGGACACTCCTAACCTCCCACTTTCTGTTTCAGGGGCTGGAGGAAGAATAAATCTGAGATAAGAACCACTGCAGAAAACAGGGCTCGAGCTGTAATTCGGGAAGAATACCAGAACCTGGGGCCCATCAGGTATATGGGGGTCCTTGGACTGAGGAAAGAGCTGAGTCTTAAATGCTCAGGAAAGCTTCCTCCTGGCCTGGCCTTGGGCCCATGGGGGCTGAGCTCCAGGGGAATTCCAGGACCCATGGCCTGGGAGCCTAGAGGTGGAGAATGGGAGGTGGTTTACACAGTCAACCTCTTGCCCTGGTGCTGGGGTAGAAACCTGAGGACCAAAAAACCCCTCAGAATGTACTTACAGTGGGATCTGCTATCTTCCACCCAAGGCACCATTTCCCTCCCGGTACACAGAATACCTGACACTATCTCAGGTGGCTTCCAGGACCTTGTTTAATGCACATTTCCATATGGTGAAAATAATGGGTTCAGTAGGCCTGTGTTCAAGGACCAGCGGTGCCACTCATGTCCTGTGTGGCTTTGGGCATGGCACTAACCCTCTCTGGGCTCTGCTCTCCAGTCTTTGAAATGGGTATATTGGGTAACTAGCTCCTCCAACTCTTGGGAATCCTCTCTTTCCACCTCCATCCACCCTCTCCCCAGGTCTGTCCCCTCTCTGTGTCTTCTCCTCTCAGTATAGACAGACTGTGTGTTTTTATGTCTCTCTCTCTCTCTCTGTATGAATGCTCCTCTTTCTCTTTGCCTACTGCATTTCTGTCTGTTTCTCTTTCTGCTTTTTGGATTCTGTCTCTGTTTCTCACTTTCTTGATTTTCTGTAGGACCCTGGGAAACTCCTGGTGATAATGAAGCACGTGGTTTCGGGGAGGGGGTGACTTGAGGCTCAGGAAGGATCCTGAGGGAGCGTGGAAGTCCTAGGACAGGAATCATTTACAGTCCATTGGCGCCCCTCCCCTTGTTCTGGGCACTCCCTGGGGAGTGGATGACTTCAGCTTTCTTAGAGGCAGATCCCGGGCCCATTCACTCCCAGTGGGCAGCTGCCTGGGCCTGTGCCTGCTGCAGTCTGCCTGAAACCCAGGGTCACCATCATGCCTGCATGTCTGTGCCACAGGTTTGCCGAACAGGCCGTTTTCGTCCTTTTCTGCATGTTTGCCATCCTTCTCTTCTCCCGGGACCCGAAGTTCATCCCTGGCTGGGCCAGCCTCTTCACTCCTGGGTGAGACTCTGGGGACCCACAGGGAGGAGTCCAACAGGGAGGATTCTGGGCTGGGCCACCTGGAGCTGGAGAGGCAGCATTGTAGCTGGGGAGACCTGCATCCAAGTTTCCATCTCTTGTCCCATATGATTATTAATAGCTCCCTCTTTCACTCTCAAAAGAGTTTAGGTTTGGGTGATAAAATATGACTTCTCATGTGTTGAGAGCTCTGGATTTGGAGTCAGACTAAACTGGGTTAGAATTCTAGCTCTGCCACTTATGAGCTGCGTGACTGAGCAAATCGTTCATTCATTCAATCAACATTGATTGAGAACCTATTATATGCTAAGCTGCATGCTGGGTGCTGGGACACAGACAAAAGCAAGTAGTTAGACAACAAAATAACTGCATTGCAATGAGTGCTATGAAGGAAAGAGTGAGAGGGTTATGCTATAAAATAATAGAGCAGGGGCATTGACTTTGGACAGTTCTGGGAAGAGCCAAAGCTTAGGAAGACTGCAGGTGAAAGCAGTGGAGATGCGCTGGGAATGTCTACTGAATCCTGAGTCAGAACAAATGTAGCATGTTTGAGAAACTGAGAAAAGCCCAGTGGGACCGAGGCCTGGTAGGAAGGAAGGAAAGTGGGTGAGGAAGGGTAGGGGAGGGCCAGATTAGAGTGTCTTTTTGGGCATATTATGCATTTTGATTTTTTTTTTTTTTTCTGTGAGCAGTGGGCAGCCATTGGAGGGTTGTAAGCTACTCTTTTTTTTTTTTTTTCAGTTTCCTAATCTGTAAAATATTATAATAGTACATTTCTCATTGGCTTGTTATAAAGATAAATGAGTTAATACATGTCAAGTGATTAAAATGGCTCATAGAAAGAACTCAATAACCGTTAGCTATATTCATTACAAAATGGGTAGTGGGGGCAAAAATATAGATGAGGAGAATAGTTAGGAGTTATAACATCATCTAGATGGCCCCTGTCTTTTTGGGCCAAATCTGGCCCGCCACTTGATTTTGAATGACTTTTACATTTTTTAAACGGCTGTGGAAAAATCAAAAGACAATGTCTTGTAATACACGAAAATTATATGAAATTCAAATTTCAGTGTCTGCAAATAAAGTTTTATTGACACACAGCCACACCTATTCAATTATATATTGTCTATGGCTGCTTTCACACTCCAATGTCAAATGTGAGTCCAGACAAACACCATGTGGCCTGCAAAGCCAAAATACTTACTGTGTGGCTTTTTACGGGAGACATTTGCTGACCCCTGGTCTGGGGGATGGCTTCAGTGAGGGTGGCAGCAGTGACGATGTAGCAGTCAAGATATCGTTCAAAGTTAAATGTGGGACTTGCGCTGGATTGGTTTGGGGGGTGTGAATGAAAGGAGTGCCTGCATGAATGGTGGTTAGTTGGAGAAGAATATTTTTTAGTGGGCTGGGAATGGCTTATTCATAATTCTATTTTGGACTTGGTTTAGACTTTTCAAGCTCAATAGCCAGTTGGATATGCAAGACTGGAGCTTAGAAAAGATGTTTAGGTTGCATACATAAATCTGGGAGTTGCTGTATAAATTTGGGAGTTAAATCCATAGGAATCAATGGGCTCAGCTATGGAAAGTGTTTAAGGAGAGTATAGAAGACCATGAGGAACCCCAGCACTTGGGAGCTGGGGAGAGGAAAGTGAGTTTACTAGAGAAACAGAAAGATGGTAAGTGAGGTAGAAGGAAAACTTAGAGCTATGGACCAGCAAAAGCCAAGAGAGGGGAGTGTTTTAAGAAGTGTGAGTGGGCACCGTGTCAAATTCTGGTGTGGGTGGGAACATGATTAAATAGAGATGAATCTGCTGGATTTGGTGAAATCTGATTATTTCGATTAGCCCCATCCAAGAGAGATATAATGTTAGCCATATATCTATTTTAAGTTTTTTGGTAGCTACATTAAAAAGGTGAAAAACAGATGAAACTAATATGAATAATATATTTTATGTATAAATTATTAGTGAGATAGTTGGCATTCTTTTTTTCATGTGAAATCATCAAAATCTGGTGTGTATTTTACATTTAAAGCACATGTCAGTTTGGTCTTGCCACATTTCAAATGCCCACTAGTCCACATGTGGCTTGTGGCTACCATACTGGACAGTGCACAATCCAGATATCTCACCCTCTGGGCCTCATCCTCTTCCCTGGTAAAATGGGTGACATAAATTCTGATCTCCTGAAGGTGGTTATAAGCAAGAAACAATATAATTTCATAAAGCCATGAAGCTATCATTGCTCTTACCATTTTTTTTATTTTTCCAAAATGTAGATGCTTTATTTTTTTCAGATGCAAAATGAGCATTATAAGCATTTCAACAATACAGAAAATGTGAAAATCAGCTGAATCTCAGTCTCTAATTCTGATATACATCTTTCCTGACTTTTAAAAAATGCCTATCTGAGAACTGTTCTACATTGTGATCGCGCTGTTATCAGACTGTATACATTTGTCAAGACTTGTTAAACTATACCCTTAAAATGGGTGCTTTTTATTGCATGTTAATTACACCTCAATGAAACATATGCCAGTTGGCTTTTAGAACTCTATTAAAAAGAAGATTTTTTTTAACAGAAACGTGATCACGTCGACATATTATTTGTAATCTGCTTTTTAATTTTTTTTAGAATTTCAAAAGTTATGCATATTCATAAAAATTCAAACAATGCTGAATTGTAAAAGAGTAAGTTAATGGCTCTTTATCCACTTTATGTCCCATTGCCCAGAGATGATCGCAATGAGCAGTTTGGTGTGTGACATTCCAGATATGCACACATATCTTCATACATACACACATACAAATATGTATACATATAACAAAAGACTGTAAAATATAATAATATGATCATGGACAACTTGCCATTTTGAACGAACTTCATTCTTTTTTTTAAATTTTATTTTCTTGGACTCAGGTCACAACTTCATTCTTTTAAAACACCGCATAGTACTCTACAGAATGGGAGCACTTTGATTTATTTAACCAATTCCTTATTAGATTGTGTTCAATGCTTCAAATACAAACTTTTAAAATAAAATTTACAGGGTATCTTGGTTGTATTTCTATGTCAATACATAGAGATTGACATTATCTTTTATCTTTTTTTAAACAGATGCAATGTACTTCATAATATGAATGGAACACAATTTCTTTAATTTTTTTTCTCAAAAATCTTCCAATTTTTTTACTCTTATCAATGAACATCCTTGCACATAATCTGTGTACAAAAGTATGACTGTTTCTCAAGGTTAAATACCTAGAAGTAGGATAACTGGACCAAAGGGTATTTACATGTAAAATTGGAAACATGTTGCCAAATGCCCCAGGAGGTTAAACTGGTTTATTCTTTCACTAAGGGCGTATGTTCCCAATACCCTCACCAGTTTTACTCCCCTTTTCAAGTCTTGCCTGTTGGCAGATGAATGGTATACTATTAGTGTTTTGATCTGCATTTCTCTGATTATAATGATATTGACCATCTCTTCCAACTTCTTGTCTGTTTGAATACTCTCCTTTCCAAATGTGTGAGTGAAAAGAGCTCTGGTTAGCAATGAGCTCTAGGCTTCGTTGAACTTGGAGCCAGAACAATCTGAGTTTAAGGCCAGGGTCTACAGAATGGGAACACTTCGATGTATTTAACCAATTCCTTATTGAATTGTGTCCAATGCTGAAAATAAAAACTTTAAAATTTATAGGGTATCTTGGTTGTATTTGTATGTCAATTTAACAAAATGACTTGCTCAGGGTCTGGCCTTGAACAGGTTGTTTCTGCTCTTTGACCCTCTGATTCTCCACCTGAAATGGAAAGTGCCTGCCCCGAGGGCTTAATGTCTCCCCTAAAGGACACATTGTGGATGCTTGAAAGGTGACAGTCAGGTTTTGAGGGGCCATGAGGCTGGGTCAATCTGCGTTCCACTGGTGTGAGTGGGCTGTATCTCAATGTGGTCAGCTGCCCATCCCAGGAGGGATTCAAGCACAAGCTGAACAAAGGCGGGGTTCTTACAGGAGTCCCGGTGAGGGTGATTTATGGGGGTTCCAAGGATTCCAATATTCTGCGGCCCTCAGATTCTCCCCTCTTTGGTCGAGTCCCTCTTCCTAGGGTCCTTGAGTTGGGAGGATAAGCATTTGCTTGGGCACAAGCAGCATCTAAATGCCCCCGGGGAGCTGTGAATGAAGAGCTTTGCACCATGCTTAGTGCACTGCAGGACAGAATCCAGTGGCCCAGCCTCCAACAATGGCCCCTTCACAGCAGGCCTAATTCCCTTCCACAAATCCTCCGTTACAAATCTGCCAAACCTCGGCCCACTGAGATGCCCAGGGTCACATGCTTTGGGGCCTTCTCATTGTAGGTTTCTTTCTGATGCTGTCACCGGCGTGGCTATTGTCACCATCTTGTTCTTCTTCCCGTCCCAAAGGCCCTCTCTCAAGTGGTGGTTTGACTTCAAAGGTAAGGTGGTCAAGGCTGGGGTCTTGGTGGGCTCAGTGAGGACTGTGACGTGGAGTGTGGTCATCAAGGGCCTGGAACCCCCCACTGCACTAACCACGTGGTCCTTCCTGCTTCTCCTTTCACTGTCTGAACCGTTGCCTTGTCTGGGGACAGGGGTTAGCAACTACAGTCTCAAGACCAAATCCAGGCAGCTGTCTGTTTTTGAACAGACTATGAGCTAAGCACAGTTTTCAGATTTTTAACTGGTTGAAAAAAAAATCAAAAGAAAAACATTTCAGGACATGTGAAAGTTACATGAAATCTAAATTTCAGTGTCCATGTATCAAATTTTGCTTTCCCCTAAGGAACCTGTGGAAATTTATTTTCTTTAGTTATATTAGTACCTACACAATAGCCTCAATTTTGCCTCTTGGCCCACGAAGCAAAAAATGTTTAGTTTTCTTGCCCTTTGCAGAAAAATGACCCCTTGGCCCAAAGCAGGAGTTGCACCTTGGCTGCCCAAGGAGCCACGCATGGAAAACACAAGCCGGATTTCAACTGTATAGGAAGTGTTGGGGACTGAGGAGAAACTGCCTGAAGGCATTCCGATTCCATTTTTTAAAAAATCGCTGAGTACCTCTAAACAAAATGCCATAGACTGTGGTCTTCAGATTGCCAGCTTGCGACTTCCTCTGGTGTCCAGCAGATGTCTGCCAGAAGGTGATGCCAACACCTGAGGCTGCCACCTGGGGCAGTTGGCTGAGCTCCTCCGGAGTCAGGAAATAGGGACCATAATCAAACTATTTTCTATTGTTGAGAAAAATAGAGTCACTCAGGATAGCCCTATCCATGGAAGAGTCGGGGTTTGAGTGTGGGGAGTATAGTGTATGTGTCCTGTAGGAAGATGAGGATTTTACAGGCTCCATAAACAGTTCTTTCTTTCTTCTTTTTTTTTTTAATGGGGTCTCACTCTGTCACCCAGGCTGGGGTGCAGTAGCGCCATCACAGCTCAGTGCAGTCTCGAACTCTTGGGCTCCAGTGAACCTGCCACCTCAAACTCCCAAGAAGCTGGGATTACAGGTGTGAGCCACCTCGTTTGGCTAATTAAAAGAAAAAAAAAAATTGTAGCAGCTGGGCATGGTAGCTCACACCTGTAATCCCAGCACTTTAGGAGACTGAGGCGGGTGGATTGCTTGAGTCCAAGAGTTTGAGACTAGCCTGGGCAACATGGAGAAACCCCATCTCTACAAATAATACAAAAAAAAAAATAGCTGGGCATGGTGAGGCACGCCTGTAGTCCCAGCTACTTGGAAGGCTGAGGTGGGTGAATCGATTGAGCCTGGCAGGTCAAGGCTGCAGTGAGCTCTGATGGCACGCACTGCACTCTAGCCTGGGTGACAGAGTGAAACCCTGTCTCAAAAAAAAATTTTTTTTTGTAGTAACGGGGGTCTCACTACATTACCCAGGCTGGCCTTGAACTCCTGGCCTCAAGTGACCCTCCCATCTCTGCCTCCTGAAATGTTGGGACAACAGGCATGAGCCACCATGTGTGACCCATAGACAGTTCCTGTAGCATAGCTGGACCTCAGGGAGGCTGGAACTGGGCCTAAGGAGGCTTAGCTGTGGGCCTGCGTACCCTGCAGTTGAACAGGGTTCAGCTTTTCTCCATTTCTACTTCTCTTCCAGTCAGTCTTCCAACTGGCTGTTCTCATCATTCCCTCTGTATATAATTTCTTAACCTTTTCCTAGTTTCTGCTGTTTGTTAGGTTTTGTACCTTTATAGTTTCTGCTTCATTTTAGTCTCTACTTTTGTTCCCTTGTAGTGTCTGATCCCCGTGGCTTCTGCTAGCTCCACTTCCTCATGTTTTCTATTCTCTGTGGCATCGCCTCTCACACTTTCTGCCCCTTCCTGGCTTCTTCCACCTGATGGCGGCCACTTCCTCATGGTGTCCAACTGCTCCCTTGAGCCTCTGCTTCCCCCGAGCCTCTGTGTCCTCACAGTATCTGTTTCCTCCTGGCTTCTGCTTCCTCACCCAACTTCAGCCCAATCATGCCCCCTGTGTGTCATGCGGCCTCTCTGTTCATTCTTTCACCTTCAGGTGTCACTTCTCTTCGCCCAGTGGGTCTCTGTTTCCCATTGATGCATCTGTAAGATGTAAGAGTTGGTCCAGCTTGTTGTTCTTTGGGCAGATTTCCTCCCACAAGGCTACTTCACAGCCTCATAGATCCCTGGCCAGCCTATGGATCAGCTGCCCTTGGTCGGGTGCCCATCCACGGTTCTGGCACCTGGGGGTGAACTCACAATGCCCAGGGCTTTCCCTCAGCTGGGGCCATGGGGAAGGCCCTATTGTTACAGGGCAGGGAGCCCCCAGATTGGGGCTTAGTCTGGGAGGGTTCTTGGCTTCTTCATCCAGGAAGGAATTCCAGGGCAAGCCAGTGGTGTTAGACAGCAACTTTTATTGAAGCGGCAGTGCACAGCAGCAGCAGAGGTCCTGCTCCTTGTGGAGTGGGGCTACCCCATAGGCAGTGTGCCCAGAGTAGTAGCTCAGAGGCAGTGCTGCAGTCATGTTTATATGCACTTTTAATTATGTGCAAATTAAGGCGTAGTTTATGCAGAAATTTCTAGGATAAGGGTGTTAACTTTTAGGTTGTTGAGTCATTGCTATGAAAAGGGATGGTAACTTCCGGGTGTTGCCATGGCAATGGTAAACTGACATGGTATACTGGTGGGCATGTCTTATGGAAAGCTGCTTCCACCCAGGACCTGTTTTGGCTGGTCCTCAATTTGGTCTGGTGCCCAAGCCCCACCCCTGGAGTGAGTCCCGCCTCCTACTTTACTATGACACAGCTGACTGGCATCCCAGCTCTGCTACTACTTTTCTGGGTGACCTCAGGGAGGCTCCTATATTCTCCGAGCCTTGCTTTCTCACTTAGAAAATGAGGGAGTCCCTTAGATGCCTTCCACCTCTGGCTTTTACTGGCTTTATAGATCAGGGGTTGCAAACTCAACTGCCTATAGGGAGGTAACACTTATTTTATATATAAGATATATATTCATATGTTTTATAAATATATAATCTATAAAACATATATAATATATAATATAGATTATATGTAATATATATATATATATATTTGACCTATGTTTGTCTCCAGATGGAAGGTAACATTTAATATATATATATATATATCAGGAAAATGTGTCTCAAGAAACATATGGCCCTCCTTGTCAATCTTTCCTTTCCCATTTTTGAAACAGAGAACAGTTTCCTTATTATACAAAGGGAGACAACAGCTGAGGTCAGTAAGAAGTGGTGAGAGGCTGGGCGTGGTGGCTCACACCTGTAATCCCAGCACTCTGAGAGGCTGAGGTGGGTGGATCACCTGAGGTCACGAGTTTGAGAGCAGCCTGGCCAACACGGCGAAACCCTGTCTCTAATAAAAAATACAAAAATTATCTGGGTGGGTGGTGCATGCCTGTAACCCCAGCTACTTGGGAGACTGAGGCAGGATAATTGCTTGAACCTGGGAGGTGGAGGTTGCAGTGAGCCAAGATCATGCCCCTGTACTCCAGCCTGGGTGAAAGAATAAGTCTGTTTCAAAAAAAAAAAAAAAAAGAAGTAGTGACAGCCTCAGTCTCGTGGCAAGGCAGGGTCTGTGGAAAACTGGTGAGCCAATCCCCACTTAAATTAAAGGGGGCAGATATTACTTAGTTTTCACTGATGGTACCCGTGCAGGAAAACAGAACTAGTTTAGTCAGATTTGCTGATTTTTCAAAAGAAGCCAAAAATCTAGATTTTTATGTGGAATCTCGCTGGTTTAAAATATTGGCAACTCATTCAAGTTGAAAAACAAATACTATGTGGGCCAACCACAGTAGCACTAAAACACGTGTGTTGAGTCTGGTCCGTGGAATGCCAATGTGTGCCCTTAGCCCAGGGGTCTTTGAACTGGAGTTTCCAGCATTGCCCAGCGGGTGGGGAGGGAACTCCATGAGCACTGCCTGTCCTTTGGCCACCAGTGACCTTGTGCAGACTTGGCTGATGTGATACTTTCTGGTATTTAACACTAAAGACTTTTGTGGAGTCTTATATTGTGGTCAGTAAGTTTCCAAAGAGAGTAAGTGACTTGTTCAAGGTCACACTGCTCATTAAAAAGAGTCAGGGCCAGGTGTGGCGGCTCACAGCTGTAGTCCAGTACTGTGGGAGGCTGAGGTGGAAGGATTGCTTGAGGTCGGGAGTTCAAGAAGAGCCTGGGCCACATAACAAGAACCTGACTACAAAAATTAAGAAATTAGCCTGTGTGGTGGCACATACCTGTAGTTCCAGCTACTTGGGAGGCTGAGGCAGGAAGATTGCTTGAGAAGTTCAAGGTTGCAGTGAGCTGTGATGGCGCCACTGCACTCCAGCCTGGGCAACAGAGTGAGACCCTGCCTCAAGGAAAAAAAAAAAAAAAAAGAGGGGGAGAGAGAGACAAAGAGAAAGAGAGAGATAGGACCTAGAACCAGACATTCAAGCCAGCCTTGATTTTCTTCTTACACTCACCCCACTATTCTTTTATGGGTCTGAGTTGCACTTGCGTTTCTCACCCTTTGTGGTCATTTAAGTATTGATCGAGTGCCTACTATGTGCTAGGCACTGTGCTTGTGGTGGAAAAGTAGTTGATGATGGTGATGATGATGATGACGACGACTTCTCTTTCCTCTTTGTCAACTAGCTGTTCCTCTAGAGAACTTCTGGAGCTTCGTGACTCACTCCATCGCTTCATTCAGGGCTCTGTCCAAATGCCACCTCCTGAGAAACCTTCCCTGACTGCACCATCTAGAAAATCTCCCTCCTGTGTTACTCTTTATTTGTTTACCTTATTTTATTTTTCTTCATAGCACATGAAATTTCTTGACATTATTTATTTATTTTTTAAGACAGGGTCTTGCTCTGTTGCCCAGGCTGGAGTGCACCCACACAGTCTCAGCTCACTGCAACCTGTGCCTCCCAGGTTCCAGCGATTCTCATGCCTCAATCTTCCAAGTAGCTGGGATCATAGGCACCCACCACCATGCCCAACTAATTTTTGTATTTTCAGTAGAGATGGGGTTTCACCATGTTGGCCAGGCTGGTCTTGAACTCCTGACCTCAGGTGATCCACCCACCTCATCCTCCCAAAGTGCTGGAATTACAGGTATGAGCCACCATGCCCGGCCAGTATATTTATTTGTTTATCACCTGACTTCCCCCCTGGAATACAAGTTCTCCAAGGAGACGAATTTTCTCTGTTTTGGCCATTTCTGTATCCTGAGAGCCCAGAAGAGTGTTTGACACATGGCAGGTACTCGATATATATTTGCTAAATAACTGGCCAAGGACTTGCTCTGGGCAAGGCCCTGGGATGAGTCCTTTGCACAGAGGGACCATTTCATCTTTCCAGTAAGTCTCTGAGGGAAGTGCTGTTACCCCATTTTGCAGAAGAGGAAATCGAGGCTCACAAAGGTAGTGACACTGGCCCAAATCACACAGTTGGGGCACAGCAGAGCCAGGATTCAAGTCTAGTTTAAAGCTTGTGCCTTTAGCTACTGCTATAGACAGCCAGCGAATATCAGGTTGAGCTGCAGTGGGAAATCCACGTAGTCAGAGATTGTGCTCATGAGAAATAGCAGCAAAGGCATGGTTGGATGGGAAAACAATAAAAACCATGGTAGCTAACATTAACTGAGCACTTGGCATGTGACAGACAGTCTGATACGCGCTCGCCATTTAATCTGCATTACATGGGACCCTGCTCAAGGCCTTCTTCCTTCCTCTGTCCCATCCACCCTTACCTGCTGTGTGGGGTGAGTCACTTCACTTTTTCAGACCTTTCGTACTTCTTTAATGAAATATTTTATCACCTGAAGGCAGAGGGCTAGGCCACCTGCCATGTCTGGTTGCCTTGTCCAGTTCTGGGCTTAAGTGTATGTTGCATTTGGCCCAAGAATCCCCTCAAGGTATATGACACCTGCACCACATGTAGATACCATGGGCTACATGCACCTGTGGGCTGCATGCACCTGTGGGCTGCATAAACCTGTGGGCTGCATACACCTGTGGGCTTCATACATCGGTGGGCTACATACACCTGTGGGCTTCATACACCTGTGGGCTGCATACACCTGTGGCCACATACACCTGTGGGCTGCATACACCTGTGAGCTACATACACCTGTGGGCTGCATACACCTGTGGGCTTCATATACCTGTGGCCACATACACCTGTGGGCTGCATACACCTGTGGACTTCATACACCTGTGGCCACATACACCTGTGGGCTGCGTGCACCCATGGACTGCATACACCTTTGGGTTTCATACATCTGTGGGTTTCATATACCTGTGGACTCCATACACCTGTGGGCTGCATACACCTGTGGACTGCATACACCTGTGGGCGGCATGCACCTGTGGGCGGCATACACCCGTGGACTGCATGCTTACTGGTAGAGGGATTTTATTAAGTAGCTTTTATTATCTTTATTTCCTGACTATAAAATCTTGTTTTAGGTAAACCACTGTGTAACATTTGGAAAAAGCTCAAAAGGAGAAGCAAAATGTCCATAACTGCTTGACCAGGAACTGTCCTGGAAGATGGCAAACTGCCTTAAAGGAGTCAGACCCATCCTCCCTGCTTCCCTGGTCACAGTCTGCCAAGAAAAGTCCTATTTCAGGAGTGATTACCCCGCACCAGGCATGGGTCTAAGTGTGTCATATACATTATTTGACAAATATTTACAGAGTAACCATTAGGTGTCAAGCACTGTTCTAGACCCTGGGGAGGCAACTATCAGCTAACTGGAAATGCCTCATCTCCCTGCAGATCCATCATTGTCCTGGCTGGTGTTCACAGGAACCCCCCTGGTTCTGTAATGAGCCATGTGCCGGCTGAGGAAATGGGCTCAGGGAGGCAAAGTCACTTGTCAAGGGCACACAGTGAGCCAAGACTGAGGAGGGTCTGTCTCCAAGCCTATGCCCCCAACCCAGGGATGTCACACTACCAGCCACGTGCCAGGTCCAACCCACCACCTGCTTTTGTAGATAGAGTTTTATTTACAACCAGGCCCACATGTTTAGGTACGGTCTCTGGCTGTTTTCATGCCACAATGACGGAGTAGTGACAACAGAGCCTGTCTGTGTGGCCTGCAAAGCCTCAATGATTCACTCGCTAACCCCTTGCAGAAAGTCTGTTGACCCCCCGCCCACTGTCCTCACCGCTGCAGCACTGCCACTTTCGAGGAAATAAAAATCATCCCATCATTTCAAGGCTCAAAAATACCCTTTGTTTCCATTTTTCTGAATGTCCTTCCTCTTTTTCTTTCCTCTCTGTGCATGTTCCAGTACAAAGAAAACCTTTTCTCGTATAAATGAGGGTAAAAATAGCTCTTGTGCCGAAGGGCTGTTGGGAGAGTTAAGTTATGTCCTGCATGTGGAGTTTTTTAAAACTCTTAAGCTGTGGGAATCATGAAAATTATTTTCACTGGGAATAGAGCAGCTCCCCTATCATGATGCCTGTGCACTCTCTCCCTAAAGCTCCAAGCCAGATGCTGGATCCACCACTTGGCTTCCTGGGGACCCCTGAGTGTCCCCAGTAAGATGGGGCTGCAGGGCTGGTGGCCTCTGCCTCAGGCTGAGCGGCCCTGAGTGTGTGCTGAATCCCTCTCTCTGCCCAGCTCCCAACACAGAGACAGAGCCCTTGCTGACCTGGAAGAAGGCCCAGGAGACAGTGCCCTGGAACATCATCCTTCTCCTGGGAGGGGGCTTCGCCATGGCCAAAGGCTGTGAGGTAAGACCCCCGGCCCCCTAACCAGCAGGAACAGCGGGAGGCAGGTGTGGGCGGGTCCCAGTGCTGGCTGCAGCACCAGGATCAGAGCAGGTGAGCTGCACGTGCCCTGGGGGCACAGCCAGTTTCCTCACCTGCCAAACTGAGATGATCATAGTTCATTCCTCACAGGTCCACACTCAGGACCAGGTGCTACAGAGAAAGAAAGGAATGAGTTACGACCTGGATCCTTAAGGAACTCATGATGGACAAAATATTAATATAATACTAATACTAATAATATTAAGACTCGAGGGCTCTGTGACTTAAGAGGGATAATAACATATTGTGCTCACCCAATGCCAGACACTGTTCAACATGCTTGCGGAGGCAGAAGGATGGCTTGAGGCCAGGAGTCCAAAATCAGCCTGGGCAGTATAGTGAGACCCTCTCTCTTTTTTCTCTCTCTCTCTTTTTTTTGGGACGGAGTTGCGCTCGGTCACCTAGGTTGGAGTGCAGTGGTGCCATTTTTTTTTACTGCAGCCTCAACCTGCCGGGCTTAATCAATTCCCTCACCTCAGCCCCCCAAGTAGCTGGGACTACAGGGATACATCACCATGCCCAGCTAATTTCCTTTTGTATTTTTTTGTAGAGATGGGATTTTTAAAAAAAATTAGCCAGGTGTGGTGATCCCAGTGGAGTCATGATGATAATACTACACTCCAGCCTGGGTGACAGAGCAAGACCTCATCTTCCCCCACCCTCCCCCTAAAAAAAAAGAAAAAGTAAAAAACATGCTTTACACATTAACTCATTTAAACCTCCCAACAATGCTATAAGGTAGATACCATTATTATGCCCATTCTCTAGATAAGAAAGTTGAGACACAGGGAGATAAAGTACCTTTTCCCTAATGTCACACAGCTACGGAGTCAGGATTAGAATCCAGGCAGTTTGGCTCTGGAGTCTATGCTCTTAACCACTCTTATATAAGTCCTAGATAGTAATATTAATTAGTTCATGGATGTTATTATTAATGTTATTCCAGAGGGCTTTGTGAGCTCAGAAGTCAGGGCTGGGACCAGGGTGGAGCAAATGAGGCACAGGGAGTGCAGAATTTCAGGGAGTGCTCACTCTCCGGGGTGTGCCAGTGCTGGTCAGCCAGCCCAGCTCCCAGGCAGTGCGACGTCGGCATCCGGCTTCTGTCTCCACAGATTATCTCACTGAATCGCCGCACCAGCCCTAAGAGCTGGGTAATGGTTTTATGTCTCTTTTACAGATACGAAAACTGAGACATGAAAAATTAAGCAACTCTCTTAAATTCTTACAATTGCACTCTGCTTGGGAGCTGGGGTTCAAATTCTCCCTGATTTCAGAGTCCAGACTCCAAATTGTTCACTCCAGAATTTTGCACATGCCAGCCGTTGTTTGAAGTGCTTTGTGAATCAAATATGACCCAGTTGATCTTTATAAACACCACTGAATGAGATGCTATCACTGTCTCCATTTTAAAAATGAGGAATCGGAGGCAAAAGGAGGCTAAATAGCTCGCCTACATTTGCACAGCCAGGAGATGGTGGAGCCAGGATCTGAAACCAAAGCTTGCGTGGCTGAGCTCCGTCCCACCCCTGAACGCCTCGTAAACCGAGGCATTCGAAACCACAGCCAGTTAAGAGTCAGTCTGCGATTAAGGATAAGGGAAGCTGAAATTACTTCTTTTATTGCCTTCTCTTGTTAATTCAATTTCAATTTTCAGTTTCAAATGAAGTTACAATGTTGGACACCTGTTAACCGTGTACACTGGTCGGAAGCCCAGGCTTGGGAATCTCAGTATCTGGTCAATCTAGGCTCTACCACTCCGTGCTGGGACACTTTGGGCAGGTTTCTTAACCTCTCTGGGTTCCTATTTTTCTCGTCCATAGACTGAGGCTCAAAGCTGTTACTCTACAGGGTTACTGGAAAATATTAAAGAATAACTGCCCGATACATATAGCTGATAAGAAGTGCTAAAAACTGCAGCACACCAGCTCATAAATCCTCATGCCATGGTTTCTACAGGTTGGGCATTCAGGAAGTAGACTCCGGGATGGAGATTCGCAAGCATGGGCATCATTAGGATGTGCCCTTGGGGTCACTGTGGTAGGGAGAGGCAGGAAGCAGGAGAGAGCAGAGGGAGAAATGCAGCTGGAGGCAGACCCAACCCCACAGGACCACTGGAGCTGAGATGGCCCTCAGAAGTAGTCCAGGTAATCAGAGATAGCCAGGCCCTTGTATCCCAGCATCCATCTGTCTGGGGACACAAGCTGCCCCAGGTGCAGGTATGGCCTCAAGTGAGGCTGCTTTTGGGGTCTGAGATAGCTGAGTGCACTCCCTTAGCGGGGGCAACAAGACCTTCACTGACGGGGATCTGGGTGGCACATTCAGCCTGTCTACACAGGTGCCCATTTGAAAATAAAATATGTTTTACTTTGTTTATTAAAAAAACACATAAATAACAGTACAGACTTCAAAAGGAACAAAGGAATAGATGAGCAAAAGCACTGTTATTTGTCTCCATTTTAGGAATCCTGAGACCCAGAGAGGTTAAGTAACTGGTTCTTGGTAACACAGCTCATTAGTAGCAGGGCTAAGATTTGAACTCATGTCTATCTGACTTATGCTATTGCCTCCTGCTGGGGGTGTCTTAGGGAAGGTTTTCTGAAGGAAGTGACATGTTATCCAGATCTTGAAGAAGTGTGCTGTACGATGGAACCAGACCATCTGAATCACAGATTTCCCACTTCTTAGGTGTGTGATCTTTGTCAAGTTACTAAACCTCTCTGGGCCTCAGTTTCCTCATCTGTAAAATTGGAATCACAATGGCACCCACCTGGTAAAGTTGTCATGATTATTAAGTGAGTCAATATATGCAGAGAAATGAGAACACAGCCCAGCACAGTTGGTTATTATGGTTAGACACTGAGGAAAAGGAAAATCAAAATCAAGAATCAGGTGGAGGTTCATGGCTTGAGTAACTTGGTGGAAATGGTGCCATTTACCTCGGTGATCTGAGCCCAGCCTGGACTAGAGGAAGGAGGCTGGATGAGATGACCCTGATCCAGAGGTTTCCCTAAGCTCCAGGAGTAGTGTGGGGAGCACTGGCTCTCAGTGGAGGCTGGGCTGCGGGATGCTGGGCATGCTAAGAGGCCACCCTGGCTCTGAGCCCAGCCCTGGGCAGCTGGCCGGAGTTTCTCTTCAACAGGGGCTTTGTGTAGTAGCTGTTCCTTTCCCCAGCCTCTGTCGCACCATCCCCTCCCCGGGCAGCCGCAGCCTGGCCCAGGAACGACCAGAATGCTTATGGCACATCCTGGTTCCTGGCCCCTGCCCCATGCTCTCATCAGACCACAGCCTGGCAGCCTCCTGAGGATCGGAGGTCCCTGGATGCAATCCAGGGTGAGCCTGGGTGTGTTGACTCCCAGCGCTGGTTCTGAAGGGCAGGAAGCCTATCCTAGCGCTTACTCTGAGCCTCAGCAACTCGCTTAAGCCCACTTAGGGTCCTCACTGCAGTTTTCTCCTGCCGCAAAACCATATAGTCATGACTCTGCATAGACTTAAACTCAAGTCCAAGGTTTCCCTTGGCCAACACAGAAAGTTGTATGGGATAATGTAGGTCCCAACACTGGCACCTACCTCTCTTCCCTCCTAACACCCCTCCAGTCTCCTTGGCCCCTTCCTCAGCCACATCAGACTCGCATGCGCCCCACAGCCTTTGCGTCTTCCCTTTCTCTGTTGAATTTTCGTCCTGAGAGCTCTGAGTCCTCACTCTTCAGGTCTCAGCCCCTCAGAAATGCCCTCCCAAGCCCCTACGTCTAGAATAGCCTCCCACCCCAGTCCCTCTTCCTCTCATGACCCTGCCTATTCCTGTATACCACATCCGCCCCCGAAATGATCCTGTGGGCATGTTTATTGATTGTGTCTCTTACTGGAACGGAAGCTCCATGAGGCAGGCAGAGATCGTGTCTGTTTTATCCACCACTGTTCTAGTCACCTAGAAGACACTGGGTGCATAATGGTGCTTAACACATCGTTGTTGCTATGACCTACAAGATGGGCTGCTTTGAGAATTGCTAACATAATGTATGGAAAGTACCCAGAAGAGTGGTGATATACCCCAGGTGCTCAAACTAGGAGCCACACTCATCTTCACTATTATGATTACTGTTATTATTGCATTAACTCATTGATGAAAGGTTGATCTTATTCTGTTGGCACAACAAACTTACAAATATATTGTGGTGATAGAGGTAAGGAGAAAATGTGTATTCTCCCCATTTCTCATTTTCTGCCAGAAATCTGTCATCTTTATTATTGATACGGTTTTGCTGTGTCCCCACCCAAATCTCATCCTGAATTGTGTAGTTCCCATAATCCCCACATGTCATGGGATCTGGTGGGAAGTAATTTAATCATGGGGGCAGTTACCCTCATGCTGTTCTTGTGACAATGAGTGAGTTCCCAAGAGATCTGATGATTTTTTTGTAAGGGGCTTTTCCCCCTTTTGCTTGGCACTTCTTGCTGCCACCATGTGAAGAAGGATGTGTTTGCTTCCACTTCCACCATGATTGTAAGTTTCCTGAGGCCTCCCCAGCCATGCTGAATTGTGAGTCAACTGAGCCTCTTTCCTTTATAAATTACCCACACTTGGGTATGTCTTTATTAGTAGAGCGAGAGTGGACTAATACAATTATTGTTACCCTCATTTTATTGGACAGACAAGCCTGATGACATGACTAAGATCCAGATTCTGAATCTTACTAGGGCACATCATATTATTTATTTGGGCAAATCACTGAGCTTTTTTGTGCTTCAGTTTCTTCAACCATAAAATGGAGATAATTGTACAGATGGTTCCTGACTTCGCAATGATTCGACATATGATTTTTCAACTTTGCAGTGGTGAAAGAGTGGTATGCATTCAGTAGAAAAGGTACTTAGAATCTTGAATGTTGATCTTTTCCCAGGCTGTGATATGTGGTAGGATACTCTCTTGTCGATGCTGAACAATTATGAGGGTAAACAACAGATGTTCTACAGTGTATAGTATGGCCAGATGATTTTGCCCCACTGTAGGCTGATGTCTGTGTTCTGAGCACATTGAAGGTAGGCTGGGCTAAGTTATGAATATTGAAGTTATGCCATAACAAACCTCCTTATAAGATGCTCCTCTACTCTATATCAAAGACACCAAGAAGAGAGGACCTGGTTGAAGTAAGAAAACAGGAGGAAGAGGGAAGCACCTCTGCCAACTCAGTCTCCCCACCTCCCATCTTTGCAAGGTGGCCTTGGGTACTTCTGGTCATCTTCAAGGCCAATAAGGAACATAATTTGACAACCACTGCACTGGGCAATTTCTGAGTTCCACCACTTCAGGCATCTTGTGACTTCTTGCTACTAGTTATGGCAGGTGGCCGGGCGCGGTGGCTCAAGCCTGTAATCCCAGCACTTTGGGAGGCCGAGACGGGCGGATCACGAGGTCAGGAGATCGAGACTATCCTGGCTAACACAGTGAAACCCCGTCTCTACTAAAAATACAAAAACTTAGCCGGGCGAGGTGGCAGGCGCCTGTAGTCCCAGCTACTCGGGAGGCTGAGGCAGGAGAATGGCGTAAACCCGGGAGGCGGAGCTTGCAGTGAGCTGAGATCCGGCCACTGCACTCCAGCCTGGGCGACAGAGCGAGACTCCGTCTCAAAAAAAAAAAAAAAAAAAAACTAGTTATGGCAGGCACTAACCAAGCACCCAGCCAAAAAAAAAAAAAAAAAAAAAATTCGCTCCTTTTCTCCCAACAATAACCTTCTGGGACAGGCACTATCATTATCCCTGGTTTACAGATAAGGAAATTTTAGCACAGAGAGGTTAAGTGACTTGCCTAGGAAGTTAAGTGACAGCTAGAAAGGATTAAGCTGGGAAGCAAACTCAGACTGACTCCAGAGCCCCATCTCTTCACCTTCTGGCCATGCCACCTCTGACCTTGGCTGTCGCTGGTCCCTGGAGTCCCTGGGAACACTGTGGGGCTGTGTGTTTCCAAGGAAACAAAGCTTCCAATTCCTAAGAATATGGGAAAGAGGCCAGGGCGTGGGGGCTCATGCCTATAATCCCAGCACTTTGGGAGGCCTAGGCAGGAGGATCGCTTAAGCCCAGAGGTTCAAAACCAGCCTGGGCAACATAATGAGACCCTGTCTCTATAAAAAAATCACTTTAAAAAATTTAGCCAAGCGTGGTGGCGTGTGCCTGTAGTCTCAGCTACTCAGGACACTGAGGTGGAGGCTTGCTTGAGCCCAGGAGATAGAGGCTGCAGTGAGCTATGATGGTGTCACTGCACTCCAGCCTGGGTGACAATGTGAGGCTCTGTCTCAAAAAAATAAAATAAAATAAAATGGGAAAGGGCAGGTGAAGTCCCCTCAGAGTCCCCAGTGGAACCCTACGCAACAGGGGTTTTCCTCTCTTCGGAAGCTGCCAGACCTCCCTCCAGTGCTGGAGCTGCACCAAGGCCTGTGTGGCTGCGGGGACGCTGGCTGGAAGCCCGGTCACTCAGAGGCCTAGCTACGGGGCAGCTCCTGGCTTCTCACTTACCCGAGTCATTAATATTCCCTCTCTCTAGCCCCTCTCCGTTTAATTGAGCACAGAGCTGTCAGGTCAGCCTCTTTGCCAGAGCTGTGGCCTATAGGAAAAACCAGAGATCCCATTTTCTCCCTGCAGCGCTCTTTGTAGCTAGGGGAGGGGCTGTGGCCTCCATGCTGCTACTTACCGTATTCCCCAGGCTAGCAGACAAACTGCAGATGTACCAGAAACACCTTAGTCTTACGAGGACTCTTCTGGGGAAAAATATTTTTAAGCATTTATTATTCTTCCATTGAAGGTAACTTTTAAGTCAAATTGTAGGGGCAAATGTACTATTTTATTTATGTAAAAACTGTATGCCGTATTCTATTCTATTTTATTTTATTTTTTGAGATGGAGTCTCACTCACTCTGTCACCCAGACTGGAGTGCAGTAGCATGATCTCAGCTCACTGCAACCTCCGCTTCCCTGGTTTAAGCGATTATCCTGCCTCAGCCTCCCAGGTAGCTAGGATTACAGGCGTGCACCACCACGCCTGGCTAATTTTTGTATTTTTTTTAGTACAGATGGGGTTTCACCATGTTGACCAGGCTGATCTCGCACTCCTGACCTCAAGCGACCTGCCCGCCTTGGCCTCTAAAAGTTCTGGGTTACAGGCATGAGCCACCATGCCCGGCCCTGTATGCTGTCGTCTAGAATTGATTATGAAATTTTTAAGTTCTGAGGAAGCAGAGACTTTTCTATTAAAAGTAAAAGTATATATATAAAGTGTCTTTGGTATACTGGGTTGATAAAAGGGCTATGGCAGCAATACATTGGATTCTGAATGTTAACGAACTAACCCAGCTCTGCCCTAGATCAGCTCCAAAACCTACAGCTTTGTTTTAGGTCTAAGTAAACGGTCGCTTTATTGTGATCTTACTGCACCACAGTTCCACCAGGGGGCAGCATTGAGCAGATTTTTGACATCCTCTGCTTTGCCGCTTTGTGGTTATAATGATGTGTTGGGTCAGTTATTTAAGGATGCATTTGATGGTGAGAGGACAGAGGTGTGGAAGAGTATTATAGATGTTATACACTGGTAAATAGGGTAACTTCTGGAGAAGTCAGCAGAGAGAGCACCCAAATAATTCTGCAGCACCGACAGGGGAGTGGAGTCTCGGTGAACTTCTCTACCCGTCTCTGCCCTGGAGGACTGGAGTCAGCACTGGGCATTGCTCTTAATTTAGAGGCAAGGTGACAGATTGGTGTGTTCAGAGGAAGATGCTGATTCGCAGGGAGCTTTGCAGAATCACATCATCTTATGGAGATAGATGGCTGTCTCAGGCACTACTTTTAGGGACCCTGGGCAAGTCACAAAAACTTTCGGGCTCAAGTTCCTCCTCAGTAAAACAGGGACCAATGATATTTACCTTTCAGGATTGTTGGGAGGAGTCAAGGAGCTAATGCCGGCAGGTGCCTGGTCCCCTGTAAAGCCTCAATAATGGTGATTCTTACGAGAATGAATAATAATGCAACGTTAATATTTGTATTATTATCATTGTAATAATTATCCTTATTACTGTTCATATATATGTATCATATATATGTTCATATATATTTCATATATATACATATATGTTCATATATATTTCATATATGTATATATACATATATGTTCATATATATTTCATATATGTATATATACATATATGTTCATATATATTTCATATATGTATATATACATATATGTTCATATATATGTGTATCATATATATATACACATATATATATATTGCTTTTGAGACAGAGTTCCTGTTGCCCAGGCTGGAGTGCAGTGGCGTAATCTTGGCTCACTGAAACCTCTCCCTCCCAGGTTCAAGTGATTCTTGTGCCTTAGTCTCCCAAGTAGCTGGGATTACAGGTGCACGTGTAATTTTTGTATTTTTAGTAGAGGTGGGGTTTCGCCATTTGGTTGGACTGGTCTCAAACTCCTGGCCTCAAATGACCCGCCTACCTCAGCCTCTCAAAGTGCTGGGATTACAGGCGTATAAATACCATCATTATTGATAATTACATTGATTGTGTTGCACTTGATGTATATCTGATACCTGTTTTATATATGATATATGGTAAATCTTGTATATATATTTCATACACATTAATATATTATTTAATAATTACAAAAATAATGACTATTTTATGTAAGTGACTATTACTATTTGGGTAATTAATAACCTTCATTGGAGGGATGAGAAGTTTTACTACTGAGGGTCTGGTTTGATTTCCCTCTCCCACTTAAACTGGCGCTTAGGGGCGCTAGAACCAAATGGATTATTGGAGACCCAGGGGTTTGGGTCCCTGGCCTGTGTGAGATAGAGTGGAGAGCAGTTCAAGAAGCAGAGAGGCTGCTGGCTCAGATGTGCGACCTTAGCTCGAATGTGTGACATTAGACACGTCACCTGCCCTCTCTGCACCTCAGTCTCTCCATCTGGGAAGGGGTACAGTTGTCATTGTTGTGATCTATCCTAACCCTCTCTAGGGGGCAGCAGCTGGGGATGGGCTGGGGTATGAAGGAATACCTTTCCCTCCACAGGAATCAGGGCTGTCTGTATGGATTGGTGGGCAGCTGCACCCCCTGGAGAATGTGCCCCCGGCCCTGGCTGTGCTGCTCATCACTGTGGTCATCGCCTTCTTCACTGAGTTTGCCAGCAACACAGCCACCATCATCATCTTCCTGCCGGTCCTGGCAGAGCTGGTGAGGGTCCTTCTGGGGAAGAGGGGAGCACCCCTCCCCCAACACACATTCAGAAATCTTCCACCTGCCAAGGGAGCTTCACTGGGGTCTACAGTTGCCATTGCTGTCTTACAAAATACGTGAAAGTGTGTCAGAACCACAGTACAATTTTTTTAAATACTGGATGTTTTCCTTCAAAAAATGCATACATAGAGCAAGTATTTTCAAAGTGCTCCCAATTCTCTCTTTTGGGAAAATTAACCCATGGTGACATGGAGAGTTTTCTAGAACAGGTAAATTACCAAATTTGGATTAAGAAGAAGTATAAAATCTGAGTAAACAAATGGCCATAGGAGAAATTCTAATGGTAAGCAAAGCAGTAGCCTCCCTCTAAAGCATGGGTTTCAACACCGTTGATATTTGGGGCTTGATCGTTCTCTGTATGGGGCTGTCCCATGCACTGCAGGGTATGCAGCGGCGTCCCTGGGCTCTGCTCACTAGAGACAAGTGGCACCTTCGTAAATCATGATAATCAAATGTCTCCTAGCATTCCCAAATATTCCCTGTCGGGGGAACAATTTCCTTCCCCCTACCCAAGTGATAACTACTGGGCTAAAAATCACCAGCCCCAGGCTGGGCTCTGCAGCTCATACCTGTAATCCCAGCACTTTTGGAGGCTGAAGCAAGCAGATTGCTTGAACGCGGGAGTTCTAGACTAGCCTGGGCAACATGGTGAGAACCCATCTCTGCAAAAAGTACAAAAAGTAGCCAGGTTTAGTGGCAGGTGCCTGGGCAACAGAGCCAGATCCGGTCTCAAAAACAAAAACAAAATCACCAGCCCCAGGTGGTTTGCTGGGTGAGAGCTAGCAAATTTGCAAGGAACAGAGAGTTCCCAACTCAGCTGAACTGTTCACCAGCAGAGAAAAATAGACATGGCCACTCAATTTATAGCTAGCAAAACCCTGGCCCCAAAACCAGATAAGGAGAGCAAGGGAAGAAAAAGCTGTAATTCAATCTCACCTGTAAAAAGAGATGCAAATAGCAGAATGAAACCATGATTGTATGAAAAGAACAATATATACATGATCAGGTAGCTTTTATACTAGGAGTTTTAAAAAGGAAACTATCAATATAGTTTTATATTTAAACAGATTAAAGACCAGACCATATAATTACCTTAATATAACCCACGCTGGTAAAATTAAATCAGTGATGCAAGTCAATGCTTTGTGTGCAAACAGTGATGCCCCAGCACACAGACCTGCAGCACTTTGTCTTTGGTTTCTGTTAGCTTATTTCATGCATCAATTTATCTGTGTTAGCACACAGATATACACTGTGTTATTTTTCAATGACTGGAGAATATTCCATTATAAATGGACAGTTGTTGGTTTATTTAAGCAATCTCTCTGCCCAGTGGAAATATAGGTATTTCCAGACTTTGCTGTTATTCAACAATGACGCGTCACCTGAGCTTTCTCTATGCGTCATTGATTACATCTAGAGAAATTCCTATAACTTGAGATTCCTGGGTCAAAGAGCATGTGTGAAATGTTGTTAGACATGAGGAAATTGCCCTCCAAAGTGGCTCACCATTTTACAGCAGTATGGGGTGCGGGTCCTCAGGGAGACCTGGTGACTGAGAGAAATGGGAGTGCTAAAGGGGGTATGGGGGAGATGAGGGAGCGTAGAACCCAGCCAGGTCTGTAAGGGGCAGCTTTTGCTGGAAAATACACTTGAAAATGCCTCATTCTTGTAAACTTTGCTTATCATCAAAATCAAAAAACATTTTACATGCAAGGGGGTGATTTTAGAGCTTTTTGAGAAAATAAATATGCTTTGGGTTGCAAAAATTCCCTAGAAGGCCCAAAAACATCCTATTTAAGTAAAATGCCAGAGAAGTGGTCAATATGAATTGTAGGCGGGAGAGGTGACAAACTGGTGGCCCAGTAGCTGTGGCCAGCTCGCAGAGGGGTTTGATACACACAGTCTTAGAAATTTGGGAGAGCTGCCAACAGATGCTCTCATGAGCTCTCTTTCGCACTGAAATCCAGGGATGCCCCCAACAAGAGGTATCCAGAGGCCAACTCTGGGTTGAGATTGTTTGGCTGAGGGAAGGAGCAAGCAGGGGAAGTGTTATAAAGCCCTGGTTCTCAGTGCACAGTCCTTACACCAGCAGCACCGGGGGAACATGTCAGGAATGCAGATCCTTGGGGCCCACCCCAACCTGCTGAATCAGCACTTCTGGGTGAGGTGGGGCCAGCCCTGTGGGCTTTAACCAGCCCTCCAAGTGCTTTTCTGCACTCTCACATTGGAGAAGGAGTGTTCTAGCTACATCACCGTAGCCCATCCCCGATCAAACCACGGTGTGGCCCTTGAATGTCACTAACCCTGGGAATGTTCTCTCCACCTCTCTCTCGATCTGGTTCTCTTCTTACCTCTGCCTGTGCATGTATCTTTCTGACTGCCTTTCTCTCTCTGTCTCTCTAACTCTGTCTTCTCACTTGTCCCTGTTGTCCTCTGCCACTCTGCCAATCTCTATGGATGTCTTTGTCTCTCTGTCTCTACGTCTTTGTGTCCCTCTTTCCAACTGCCTCTCTCTTTCTCTCTCTCTCTCTCTGTCTCTGTCTCTCTCTCTCTCTCTCTCGCTCGCTCGCTCGCTGTGGTCGCTCTGCGTTGGTCTCTCTCCGGGTCTCTCCCACCTTTTCTGGGCCCAGGCCATCCGCCTGAGAGTGCACCCCCTGTACCTGATGATCCCGGGCACAGTCGGCTGCTCCTTTGCCTTCATGCTCCCGGTCTCGACGCCCCCCAACTCCATCGCCTTCGCCTCTGGACACTTGCTGGTCAAAGACATGGTGAGTCTGGGCATTTCCCAGCAGAGGCCACAGGAGGTGGGTGGGCAGCAGGGGGCGGGCAAGGCCTCTATGCAGGAGTCCTCCACCCTGACCCCACTCCCCAGTCTCTGAAAGGTCTTTCCGAGTGGGACGAGGAACATACATTTTAGCAGAGACTCTGGGATGATTCTTGCACTTAGACAATCTCAGGAAACACTGCCTTAGTGACTAGTTTCCAAAATTTGCTCCAGGGACAAGGGACTCCCCCCTCCCTCTGGACCCCACTTCGTGCTCACGATCTTTAGGAGAGAGAAGCAGCAGGCACACCCTGGGACTCGGGTGGGCCTCAGCGCTCAGCCAGCTGGGAAGGAGACAGGAGCTGAGGACTGTAGCAGTGGGAGGGCCCCACCAGCTTTCAGCACGGCCGGGTCACTGGCAATATGTTTCCTCCCCCGGAAGGTCCCTGCTGAACCAGCTCCTCCCTTCCCACTCCTGACTCCTGCAGCCTTTTCCCTCTCCACTGGCTTTGCAAATCACCCTTCCAAAGCTGTCAAAGCCAAGAAGGGCAACCTGCTTAACCCATTCACGATGCAGGCCCTCCAGGCACAAGACCCCTGCAGGACGCGTGGGGGCAGAGAGCAAGAGTGGGAGCGAGGCAGAAAGGGAGACACAGAGCAGACAGAGAAGAGAGGAGACAGAGACGCTCATTAGTTTGTTTATTGATTGCAGCAGTATTTACTGAGTGCATTCTATGTTCCAGCCACTGGGGGCACTGCAGAGTGGGAGAGACACCGATCTGCCTCCAAGGAGGGTGCTTTCTATTGGTGGAGACAGGCGTCAACAAGTGCAGCAGATTTTCTTAAATTATGTAAATTTCAATATTGCTAGGTGCTCAGAAGGAAATAAAGCATGAGGAAGTGTAAGAGGACGGGGGAGAGGGGTGGCAGGGAAGCCCTCTCTAGGAAGGTGACATGGGAGCTGATCATGGGAAGCAGCCAGCCTCGCAAAGTAAAAGGGGAAGAGCAGTCCCAACGGAGGGCGTAGCAAGTGCAAAGGCCTGGAAGTGAGGAATAGCAATGAGTGCTCCAGAAATTCAGGGCCGGGAGGCTGGGGTGGCTGCAGTGGAGTTGGGGAAGGATGAGGTTGGGGAACAGCGGGGGCAGGGCAGAGTTGGTATCTTATTCAAACCGCAGTGAGGACCCTCAGTAAGCAGGGCAGTGATGTGATTTCATTTCTGTCTGTAGAAGATCATTTTGGCTGCTGGCTGGAGTGGATCGTTAGGGTGGGAGGGACAAGTGTGGAAGCAGGGAGGCTCCTTAGAGAAAAAGACTGCGAGGGCAGTATTGCGAACAGCACAGATTTGGAGAACAAAGACAGCCAGAGAAATGGAGAGTCCCCAAGAGGTAGAGACTTGCAAGAGATGTGGAGGGATACAGGGGGCACCCCTGGTCAGTCAGTCCCGGGCAGGGATGGCCCACCTGCAGGTTTGTTCCTCAGAGTGATGAATTAGGCGTTAATTAAATAGCTAACATGGGACTAGAAAGAATTTCGAGCCCTGGCAAAGGGAGACCCAATCCTCTCCCAGTTTCCCCAACGTGTCGGCCAGGCTCTCTCTCATCCTCCGAAGGTGCCGGAGCTTCCACCTCTGTGCCCTCAGAAGACAGGCAGGACAGCACACGCAGTATGTCCCCCACCCGTCCATGGTAATATTTATTTAACACCTTTTCTAAATCAGCTTGACATTTAAAAAAAAAAAAACCTTAAATAAGAATATTCCAGAAGAAATGTTTCCAGCGCATCCATAGTGGAAAACCGGTGTTATTAATATATGCCATGGCATAAAAATAAATGTAAAGCGGCAAAAACAAAAGAATTAAGCCCTCCCTGATAGCAGCGGCCTGGAGAAGGTTCTGGGCCTCTCCTTGTTAAAAGGGCAACTGACGGAAGCAGAGAAGTGCTGAAGCCATGGTGGCCCCTGTGAACCCCAAAAATCTGAGAAGGTCTCAGTAAATTTAGGAAGTTTATTTTGCCTAAGTTAAGGACGCATACCCATGACACAGCTTCAGGAGGTCCTGACGGCATGTGCCCAAGGAGGGTGGAGCACAGCTTGATTTTATACATTTTAGGGAGGCATGAGACATCAATCAACATATGTAAGATGAACATTGGTTTGGTCCGGAAACAACTCAAAGAGGGGAGGGGGCTACCAGAGACAAATGGTTGCATTATTTTGAGTCTCTGATGAGCCTTTCCAAAAAAGTCAATCAGATATGCATTCATCTCAGTGAGGAGAGGGATGACTGAATAGAATGGGAGGCAGGTTGGCCCTAAGTAGTTCCCAGTTTAACTTTTTTCTTTAGCTTAGTGATTTGGGAGCCCCAAGATTCATTTTTCTATCACACCCCTAAGTGAGACTTTCTCTGGGGGGAATAGACAGAGAATTAGAAAGGAAGTAACTGTCTCACCAAGTGATTCAGGCTGGGCTATGTGAAGGCGGGGCAACCAGAAGACCCAGGTGGGAAAACAGGGATTTTCAGCCCAGGGTGGACTGAATGGTCTAAGAGGCCAGCCAGGGTGGGGAGCAGATGGGCACATCCAAGAGGCCAGCCAGGGTGGGGAGCAGATGGGCACATCTAAGAGGCCAACCAGGGTGGGAAGCAGATGGGCACATCCTCCACTGACAGAAGAAAAATGCTTCCCAATGGACAAAGGTAACCTTGACTAGGACTGCCTGACTGGACTGGACCTGAAGTGTATGTGTGTGTGTGTCTGTATATATGTGTACTTATGTGTGTTTGTACATGCATGTGTATGTGTGCATGCGTGTGTGTATATGTGTGTGGGATGGGGGTATTTAGTGATCAGACAAGATTATTTTAGGTGACCTTGGGCAAGTCAACTTCTCTAGGTCTCATTTTCCTCTTCTATACAATGGGGATTAATAAGAATCACCTTTGTAAGGTTGCTTTCTGGGTTAAATGGCATAACCCTATGACAACTGCATAGCACATAGTGCCTGGAACATAGAGGCCATCAATGAATGGGGACATTTGCAGCTCTTTGAGTGACAGCCTAGGGTAGTATAAAGATTGAAGAGTCCCAGGCATTGACCAACCTGGGTCTGTGTCCTGGCTCCATCACTTCCTGGCTATGCGATCTTGGGTGAGTGACTTCCTGTCTCTGAGTCTGAATGTTTCCATCTGTATGGTGGGTCAGGTGCTGACCCCTCCCTCTGTCTGGGCTCTATTTCAGGTGCGGACAGGCCTCCTGATGAACCTGATGGGTGTCCTGCTGCTCAGTCTGGCTATGAATACCTGGGCACAGACCATCTTCCAGCTGGGCACCTTCCCGGACTGGGCTGATATGCACTCGGTTAATGTCACAGCATTGCCACCCACCTTGGCCAACGACACATTTCGGACCCTCTGAGTCCCCCTGGGGGACTCCCTTGAGGCTGAACCCTCTCAAAGGGCTGTCACCATCACCTGCTGCTAGGACACTACAAAGCAATCAAATAATTCTTTTCTTTAATCCAATATGCGGCTAGCAAGGGTGACCTCCAGTGGCCCACTCGGGTCCACCAGCCATTATCTAGGACACTTTCTGTCTCTCTCATGAAGTTCAAAGCCCAGATATCTCTCAGATCTGCTGCCTGAGAAATAAGCTCCTTTATCAGTGAGCTGTTTTATCATTACGATGCAAGAGAGCCCAGTTTCATCAACAGTGAGCAAATCTGGCATCGTGTTTGTCTCGTACAGTTGGGATGGGAGGCCATTCATTCCCATGGGCACAGCTGACATCATCCCCCAGTGATTACTTTCAGTTACACTGGAGAGACCACCTTGCCTTTATCACTTTCATGGGCTGCAGTGTTCCAACCAAGTTGTTCCAGCTGTTCACAACAAATGTGTGATTTTGCTTAGTTGGTGCCCATTCTGCACCAGTTGTTTTACCCCTGCCAATAACCAGCAGTCAGAGATTCTTTTTTAATCCTTGGAGACAGGAAAAGGGACAAATAGCTTTCCAAGGACATGAGACTGTGCAAAGCCTTTTTGCTGTTTCTCTGGGCTCCTAAGCATACCAGGGGAAGTTCTAGAAACCTCAGCTAACATCTCGACCCGAGAGATTTAGGATTCTCCTGTTTCTTCTGGGTCAGTTTGGCCATAATTCTGGGGTCACGCCAGGCCTGGGCCCTGCCCACCCATGGGGTGACTCATGACCCCTCCAGCCAGGACCCTCCTACATGTGGCCCCCAGAGGCCTCTGTGGCTGCAAGGCAGTCAGTTGCTGCTTGTCCCAGCAGGGGGCCTTGATCTCTCCACACACCACCTTAAGTGGTAAGCATGTTTAGTTATCAAAGGCCCCATTTGTCAGGGGTGAGAGAAAAGGCAAAAGATAAATTGGGGACTTGTAAAAGGCCGGGGTAAAATGTCTCAGGCAAGCAAAAGATTGTCCCCTTCTACATATGGGTAAAACTGAGATATCCCCTTGAGCCCAAGGCTGGAAGTGGTGTCTGCCTTCAAGGGTTAATCCCTCTTTGTTCCAAGCAGAAGCATTCTGGCATGCCAGTGAAGAGCACAGGCCCTCAGTGTCTGCTGAACGGAATGGCCCAGCGTTAGCCCACATCAGAAAAGACACTAGCCCAAGAGCCCTGAATCGTCACACTTCCCTTTCCTAAGCCTCTGAGGGTGGAGATTCCCCTAGGAGCGCTTGGCCAGCTGGGAAGGCAGCACCCAGCTGTACTTGTTGTTGATACAGCATAAGTGAATCATGGGCATTTCCCTGAGAGCAGTGGGAGAGGCCCTCTGAGTCGGAGGTTGAGCTCCACCTCCTTTCCAAGCGAGCACTCAGTGCTGAATCACAGTTACAACCCACTGGGGCTGGTGGGAGGTACGTTGTATGGGACTGGAAGCAAGAGGTTCATTCAAAGAGAAACTCCTGGGATTTGTAACCAGATGAATCATGATTTCAAAGACTTCTGATCAAAAATACTGTGAAATAAAGAATGTTAATCAACATTGGACCTGGAGATGATCTGCCTTTCTGAACCTAAGAGAGCTTCAAAGCCCCAGATTCCTGGGCTGGGAATTCCACAGAGTTGACCTGTCAGATTTTCAACTGCTCTTCCCTCCCCTCTCCAGTCACATACTCAAACTCTCCTGCCTCAGGGCCTTTGCACGTGCTGTTCCCTCTGCCTAGAACACTCTGCTCCCAAATATATGTCTGGTTCCCCGACTCACTTTATTCAAGTCCCTGCTCAGGTGTCACCTTCCCTGAGAGGCTTCCCTGACCTCCTGTCTAAAATATCACCCTCATTACTCTCCACCCCCTTACTCTGTTATATTTTCTCCTTAATAGTTAGGACACTGTATAACTTATTTTCTTATTATCTTCTTCTCCCTCTAGAAGATACATTTATGAAAATACAAATGACTTTTTTTTTTTTGCTGCTGTAACTCCAGTTCTTAGAACGATTTCCAGCACATAGCAAGTGTTCAGTAAATATTTGCTGCTTGAGTCTGCACCAAAATTAACAAGAAAGCCAACTTGCCCTCTGATCTGGGGTCTGTTTTGTTCATTACTTTGTTCACTCCTTCTTCCATTTATTCATTCAATAAACATTTATTGGGAACCTGTCATATTCTTGTTCATTGTCCCGCCCACATGGAACTTACATGCTGGCAGGGGAGACAGGCAATAGGAAAATAAATAAGTCATGGGTTATGATGCTGGCTAAGAAGAAAATGGCCAAGATGTTAAAGTGACTCAGAGGTTACTTTAGCCAGGGTGGTTGGGGAGGACTTCTCTGAGGAGGTGGCATTAGATTGAGACCTGAAGGAGTCAGCCAGATGCTCATGGCAATGCGGGAGGAAGGGAGAAGGTGGGAGCGATGGGGAGTCCCTGGGGAGAACATTCCAGAAAGGGGGACTGCAAGTGCAGAGGTTCAGATGAGCGGATTGCTTCACTTAGCCAGGTGCTCTGAGCTGGAACTTTGTGGCATTTGGACATCTAGAGTCTGCCTCTTCTGGCTGGTTACCAGGCCTCTCTGCAGCTTTCCTGAGAAGGCATCCTAGCTTGCTCTGACCGGATGTTACTCAGTTCTTGAAACCTGAAGGGCTTTGCCATTCTTAGTGAAAAAGATCTGCAGGCAGAAGGCAGCAGCACCATTATGGTGTGCTCATGGCAGCGTGGGAACAAGGAGATGGCAGGGCTGGTACAGAGTCATTGGAATACACCAAGGGCTCATGTCCAGAAGATATGCGGAGCATCCCAACTCAGAAAAGACAAACAAAACGAACAAAACCTTGCTTTTGTTATCTGTGACTGCGTAACAAACCATCCCCAAACTTAGAACTTTGAAACAGCAACTTCTCGGCTCACGTTTCTGCGTTTGGACAGAGCTCTCTCTGCAGGGATGGCATTGTCTCTGTCCCATGAGCTGGGAGCTTTGCTAGGGCTGGAAGGTCTGCAATGGCCGCTGACACTTCAGGGTCTCTCTTCACATGGCTTCTCCTGGAGTCTATCCTGGACCTCTTTACATGATAGTGGCCTTCAAGAACAACAAAAATCGAAGCTAAAAGGCCTCTAAGGGCAGGATGTGGAAGTCTAAGGATGTCAATTCTGCCAAATTCTATTGGTCAAAGTAGCCCACAGGACGGGCCTGGTTCAAGGGGAGGGAAATAGACTCCAGCCCTTGATGGTAGGGGCAGCATCCACCAGGGAGGGGGAGGGACAGTGGGCTGCCATGTTTGGAAGCCACTTACCATAGGTCCCAAGGGAAAAGTGGACAAAAGGTGTGACATGTCATCCTGAAAAGAGATATCTACCTAGCCAACAGGATTATGAAGAGATACCCAAACCTACGTGTTTATAATTTGCAGGAAAATGCAAATTAAAAGAAATTCAACAACATGCCAATCAGACTGGGAAAAATAAGAAAAGCAGACAATAAGTCCTGGTAGGATACAAGGAAACAGAAACCCCATCAGCCCAGCCAGCAACTTGGAAGTAATTAGGGGTATTCATTATCTGTATTTCCTATGACCGAGAAAACTACCCCATGGGTCCTAAGGAGACAGTGTCAAAGGATATTTGTGCCATGGTTGTTTGAGGCCACCAAGGTGACCATCACCGGGGGAGTATTGAAATAAAATGTAAAGGAAATACGCTAAGGAAAACATAGGAACACGTAGAAGTGATGAACTACAGGTACACAGAGTGACAGGTTACACACAGACATATTCCAGTATGGGTGTCAAACAGATACAGAGTCAAGTAGGTGGAGAAATGGAGGTGGTGATGGTAGTTGTAAAAAAGAGATGAAATAAAAGTCACTAAACAAGGAGTCAATAAGCCTCATTGGAATCCTGGCTCCATCTCTAACATGCTGTGTGACCTTGAGCAGATTTCTTTACTTTTTTTTTTTTTTTTTTTTGAGACTAGATCTTGCTCTATAAGCCCAGGCTGTAGCCCAGGCTGGAGTGTGGGGTGCAATTATAGCTCACCGTAACCTTGAACTCCTGGGCTCAAGTGATCCTCCCACCTTAGCCTACTGAGTGAAAAGGACTACAGGTGTGCACCACCACGCCTGGCTTATTTTCTTATTTTTTCTGGAGACAGGGTCTTGCTATGTTGCCTAGGCTGGTCTCAAACTCCTGGCCTCAAGCAGTCCTCCTGCTTTTGCCTCCCAAAGCACTGGGATTACGGGCACGAGCCACCGCACCTGGCCTACTATTTTGGATTTCGATTTTTTCATCTGAGAAATGAGAGCACATGGGGGGTCTCAAGAGGAAGTAGAAAGCATGCAAACTAGCTAATTTGTGGAGAGTTTAGTGAAAGGTCAAGTTACAAGGTGAGTAGAGAGTAGGGGGACCACAGGAGAAATGTGGGACCCCAGTGCTGAGAAATCAGGGAGCGAGAAGTGGAGGAGCACCTCCCAGGCCAAGGCCTTAAGGGAGCAAGCTCCCTGATGGGATCTGGGTCCAGGGACACAGCTGGCTCTTGGTGACTGCAGGGAGGGGAGGGCTCTTCCTCTCCTCCATCCCTCAGCTCTTCTGCTGGGGAGTCAGGGCTCCTTAGAGAAACCAACAAACAGGGTGTGCATGCGTGTGTGTGTGTGTGTGTGTGTGTGTGTGTGTGTGTGTGTGTGTGTTTCTTATCAAGAGAGAAGGAGAAAGATTTCTTTTAGGAATTGACTCACACCATTGTGGAGGCTTAGCGAGTCCAAAATCTGATGGGGTGACCAGTAGGCTGGAGAGCCAAGAAAGTGCTGCAGTTGGAACCTGAAGGCTGCCTGCTGCAGAGAGTCCTCTTGCTCAGGGAGGGTCAGTCTGTTGCAGTATTCAGGCCTGCTACTAATGGATGAGACCCACTCACGTTCTGAAGGGTGATCCGCCCTACTCAAAACCCACTTACTCAAATGTTAATCTCATCTGAAAGCATACTTACAGAAACATCAAGAGTGATGCATAACTAAATCTCTAGGCACCACAGCCCAGCCAGCTTGACACATGAAATTTTATGTGTTGCACCGACAGGAGCCAGAATGCAAGCGGGGCTTTGATGCAGCCTGTCCAGGTCCACCTCCCGGATGCAGGGCAGGGAGGAGGAGCATGGGGAGGGGTCTGGAGAAACAAGCTTTGAGAAGAGTACGGCACAAAGGGTTGACACATCAGAGCTTGAAATCTGGTGCCAGCCCTCAGCCAAGTTTTGTTTGTCCTCTCCCCAATGAGGTTTTTTTTTAATTTTTATTTTATTTTATTTTTTTTTGAGACAAGGTCTCGCTCTGCAGCCCAGGCTGGAGTGCACTGGCCTGGTGTGATCTCAGCTCACTGTAACCCCCATGTCCCAGGCTCAGGTGATCCTCCCACCTCAGCCTCCAGAGTAGCTGGAAGTGCACACCATCATGCCCAACTAATTTTTCTATTCTTAGTGGAGATGGTGTTTCTCCATGTTGCCCAGGCTGGTCTTAGACTCTTGAGCCTCAAGTGATCCTCCTGCCTTGGCCTCCCAAAGTGCTGAAATTATAAGCGTGAGCCACTGTGCCTGACCCCTGGTGAATTTTAAATTATTATTTGCTAGTCATTAAAATTTAGGAGATTTCACATAAAAATCTGGATTTCTGCTTCTCTTGGAAAGGACAATACCAGATCTAACAATATGAGACCCTCACTGGCATCTGGCAACAATTGTTTGGAGCTGAGTAGTTTGTGGAGGAAATCTTAAGTTGGAACATAAGCATTCATCAACCTCAGTCCCCACCACTCTTTAATGTCTTATACTGGCTCTCCTTGTTCAACTCTTGTCACTTTCCTGGCTTGTGAAAGTATTTGAATCTATGACCTTTGAATTGCATGATCTGGGAGGTCTATTTCAGCATTAGCGGTCATGGGTTCTAATGACCTAGAGCAGCACTACCCACTGAACTTTCTGTAATGATGGAAATGGTCTATAAGTGCCCTGTGCAACACAGTAGCCACTCGCTATGTGTGGCTATTGAACATTTGTAATGTGGCTAGTTCAAACTGAGATTTGTCATAAGTAGAAAATTGTAATATGAGAAAATAAGTGTAAAATATCCTGTCAATTTTTATATTATTTACATGTTAAAAGGATATTTATGATATGATGTGTTACATTGAGTAAAATATTTTATTAAAATTAATTTCTGTTTTTAAAAATTCAATATTTTAAATTTTAAAAATGTTATGTATCAACTTGGCTGGGCCATAGTGCTCAGATATTTGGTCAAGCATTATTCTGGATATTTCTGTGAGGATGTTTTTAGATGAGACTAACATTGGAATCAGTGGACTTTGAGTAGGGCTACTAGAAAAGTTTAAATTATGCATTCGGTTCGAGTTGGCTCACATACTGTTGCTATTGGATAGCACCAGCAGTATAGGAAGATTTTGGCTGCTTCTCTGTATTCTCAAACCATCTGGACAGTGGCAACATTGAAGAAGGCTGAAGAATTCAATGACTCTAATATTCTATGCAGCTGGGTGCAGTAGCTCACGCCTGTAATCCCAGCACTTTGGGAGGCTTAGTTGGGCAGACTACTTGAGCCCAGGAGTTTGAGACCAGCCTGGGCAACATGGCAAAAGTCCATCTCTACTGCAAATAATACTCTGTGGATCTCTCATTCTGATCCCAGGCCAGGCTCTCCAGGAAGATCTGAAGGCTTACCTCTTCCTCTTCCTCTTCTGTCTTATGGCTCTGAATCCTCCACCCACAAATTCCCCTGAACAACGCTGATTCTATTTTTGATGATTCAGAAGCACCTTCCGGATGTTGTGGGACTTGAGGTCAGGCCAGCCTTATATAGACAGAGGTAACTGCCTACATATACCAAGAAAAGCCAAAAATATCTTTTGCCTGTTCATTCCTTATGTCCCCATGCTCCCAAATCCTACATATCCTCACCCGAGGCCTTCTGGAAACAAACTGCCTGGTCCTTATCCGACCAGCTCCCTAGTGCCTGTGCAGAAACTGGGCAGATGCTGGTGGCTGCCTTCTAGGACTGTTTCTGTCTGACCAGCACAATGCCCTGAAGTTTGCTATGTGATGGGATCCAGGCCAGGGTGGCCTGGTGAGCATCAGAAGTCTCAACAATCAGATGTGAGCAGACAGGGGCT